AGTGCAAAAGTTCCGAGTCTATTTTGGAAAGGCGCCGATAACAGTGTACTCTGATCATGCGGCGGTAACTAGATTGTACTCAGGGAAAAATTTATCCCCAAGGTTAATAAGATGGGCACTCAAGCTGCAAGAATATAATCTGGTAATCAAGCATACCCCCGGAAAGGAAAATATCGTAGCAGAGATGCCCTATCAAGAATTAAAATAGACGAACAAGGTAATACCGTAAAGTTGGCAATGCTCACAGCATGTACAATAAATTCCCGAGAAACTGTAATAACCGAACTGGGTAAGGATCCTGAGTTTGGAAGCATTTATGAGTATTTGAAGGATCCTGAAAATTTTAGCCACCAAGATATTGTGGCGATAAGAAATAGGGCGGCCCATTACGAACTAATAGATGGTCTATTATTTTATACAAAAACTACGAATTCCAACAACGAATTTCGACCTGTTATCCCAGCTAGTCTTAGATTAAATATCCTGCAGGAGCTCCATGACAGCCCTTTAGCTTCTCATGCTGGTATTCGAAAAACTATCCAACGCGTACGCGAGGCAGTCTACTTTCCTGAACTGCAAAAGTTAACAAGGGCGTATGTCCAGTCCTGCCCAACATGTCAAGCAGTTAATTATATTAATTTCCGCCCGGCCGGGTTTCTAAATAGTATTAAATCCGAATTTCCAAATGAAATAATTGGCATCGATTTATTGGGCCCTTTCCCAAAAAGTCAGTTAAATAAAAGTCGCTATCTCCTTGTTATGGTTGATCATTTTAGTAAATGGACCGAAATTGTTCCCTTAAAACGAGCCTCCGCGAAATTAGTTACTGATTCTATTTTAAATAAATATATTTTAAAATACGGGGCGCCCCTAAAAGTTATATCGGATAATGGTCCTCAATTTGTAAGTAATATATTTGAAGACATGTGAAAAAACTGGGCATACGTCATTTAAAAATGGTCCCGTATCGGCCGCAATCAAATATAGCGGAACGGGTCAATAGAAATATAGTGAAAATTATCCGTAGTTATGTTAAAAATTTTCATAAAAGCTGGGATAACTATGTCAATGAATTTGCTTTCGCCCTTAGGACCGCAAAACATGATACAACGGGCAAAACTCCTGCTGAGTTATTTCTAGGCAGAAAGATTATAACACCGTTAGATAAATTATTTTATGTGCAACAAAGAGCCCCAGAATTTAAAATGGGTGATATAGAAAAACTAATTAAAAGAAGCAAAAAAGAATACGGAAGTAGCACAAAGAAAACAAAGCTTATTATGATTTGAAACGACGGGGAGTAACTTATAAAGTAGGGGATGAAGTTTTAAAAATTAAGCATTCACTTTCTTCAGCACCAGAAGATAAAACTGCCAAATTTTTTTCCACGATTTGAAGGACCATATGTTATAGAAAAAATAACTCACGCTGTAGTAGTGTTAAAAGCCAGAAATGGTGAAACCTGTTCCGCAAACATTGATCAAATCAAACCCTACTTCGATCGTAATAAAATGCAAATTTTCAGATCTTTTGCAGGATCCGGCACGGCAGACACCGCAGGCACAAGCTCCAGAGGTGGAAAAACGACAAGTACAAGGGCAAGCCAATTAAGAGGCAGGAGCAAGTGAAAAGAAAATTGCCCCGCGGAAAAATTGAAGGTAACAAGAAAAAGAAGCCGTTCCACCGTCCAGAAAAGAGAGTTCACGAACACCCCCAGAATGAAGAAGGGAGAAGGACGACGTATGTGAAGAGAACCAGGAGAAATGACGGCAACTATAACCCGGCTCTAAAACGGAAGATCTACTCATCCGACAGGACTCTCCGCAGCAAATGTCGCCGAACTGCGGAAGGGCCATCAGCGGCGGAGGAAAAGTTACAAGGAAAATTTGAACGGCCAACAACGAGGTCCAAGCAGGACACGACAGAAGTTTTCCCGGTTCCGCCAAGACCAGCTGCCATCAAACGGCCAAGACCACAAGCAGAGGAGAAAAGAAGGTATTCAAGGGTGACCGAACTGGTGAAAAAGGAAGCTTCCAGAGGAAGGCACTGAAGGGCGAGCCCGTACAAGAAGGAGGATAAATCAAACTACTATCTGCAATACCTTTAAAGACTGGGCCCAGAAAAGGATGTCCGAATATCACAAAGATAAGTAAAATTTTATGTTACTTTGCAAACTTAAGTTAATCTTTCATTCTTACTGCAAGTGGCAGATTTCAAGAAGTTTTTACCTCATGCGAGGTCTACCTTTATCGCCAAAAGGGCGAGAAATGAGTTGTTACCGATTTTGGTATTATGTTTTTCAATTACTCGCGCGTAAAACTAAAGTTGATGTATAATAGCGTTGTGTAAAGACTTAAATATTGTAAAAAGTTATTGTATAAATTTTATTTAAAACATTCTAGCAAGAAAGAAGTTTTAGTCTGAAAGACTTTTTGAAATGTAGTATTTCAATGTAGAAAGAATTGGCACTTGCTTTGAAAAGAATAGAAGTTAACAATGTACTACTAATGTATGTTTTCAAATGTGTAAAATTAACGGCATGTTGATATGTTCTTATATACAATGTGAACTGTTATTTTAAATGTTTAAGAAATACCGTGATATGGTAAAAGTGAAAGTAATGTTAAAATTTTTTTTTTATTCGTGTGACTGTAAAAAGACTAAATCATGGTGAATATGTGTTAAAGGTTGAATGATGTAGTTAGGCTCTCTGACGCTACACTTTAGAGTTAGCCACTTTCAGAATAGTACCTCAGGGTTTAGAGTTGAAATTAGGGTGTGTTTAGAGGTCTTGTTATGTTGAATTTTAACACGTTAGTGTTTTGATTGTAGGAGGAAGTGTTGGAACACGTAGACAGAAACACATTCGTGTTTGGTGTTCTTTTACAACACATGTCAGAGAGCACGGGGAGAGATAATTAAAATAGTCATGAATGAAATAAGAATGTTAAGAGAAGTATAATTGTATATGTTACTTGCCATTTCATTGTGTAACATTTCATTAAACTAGTTTTCCTTCCAGATCTTTGGAAGGAACCAGAATTGAATAAAAGCTCCTGTTTAGATGCAGTACAGATGAAAAAAAAAAAATTGTGTATCCTGGGAGCTGCTTGTGTAAAAACAAATTTCTTTCTTTTAAATTTCTAGTTTCTAGCGAAAAAATGTTTGTAAAAGATTGGCCTCGCGTTAGATTCTAGAGCTAAAAGTTTTCAACAAGGTCGTTTTAGACCTCAGTTTTCAAACTAATTAACTCTGGCGGGAAGTATGTAAGGATCTTAAGTTTTACTAACGTTTATTTTATTTTAAATCTTTACTATCACTTCTTATTTTCTACTTCCGGCCAGAATTATAAGCGTTAAGGTTTTTATGCAAAGTTTGTCTGGCGAACGCCAAGTATTTAAGTTGTGGCTTTTTGCCAAGCGAGAGAGAGGAAGCAGTTGAGTCGAAGCAGGCCGCTTACCTTAGAAGTTTACGCAGTTGCTTTTGCCTTCCAGGCCAGAGGTTTTAATCCTCTTGATAAATTTAAACGTATTGTAGTGTTCACAGTTCTCTGTACTACATACCTGTTATTATAAGGCCAATCTTCCACGTTATTATTCTAAAGTTAAATTAGAGTTTAGTTTTATTTTTATACTTTTACGTTAGACCCCAAGTGGAGGGTCATTGTATTCCGAAGTACGGAAGTTATTGTATATAGAGAAAAATAAAGGGTTTTGTATACCCTTCGTCTGTATCCTGTCTACTTACCACAATTAGTGAACATAGCTTTAGTAAGCTCTCTGTTCCGAGTCAGGTCCTTGTATGTTCCCGAAGAAGGTAAGAAGGAACATTGACCCTGATAGAGTGTCTGTGGAACATGTGGGCAAGCTGAGAGGTTTGGTGGCAGGGTAAGAGATGTAGAAGACCCTCAGATTCATCCTTCAGCTGTTCCTCAAAACTGGGGTGAAGCTTCTCCTTTCTGCTGGGTGTAATTTATTCATACCGGTACCGGTGGTGCTCCTTGGGCAATGTTCCCAGTGATAAGACAGTTAAATGACTGCTGAATATTGGCCATACTAAACTGCAAGTGCTTCTTGTTATTTTTAATGACAACAATCTTAAAACAAGATAAAGTTTTGTTTGCTCTGCATCCCCCTTCTCCCTATTACATTAAAAATATTTAAGAATGTTCATTATGTTATACAAAATGTTAAAGAATTCTATAACTAAGATTGATTTAAAAATGATGATCTTGTTATTAAGAAATGTTAATGCATTTAGTTAATAACAAGTTATTTTATTTAATAATTTAGGATATTCGAATAAATATAAAGTTTAAATGGATATATTGAAAAAGATTATTTGCATTGCTTGAGATATAATATATCTTTTGAGTATAAATTAAAAAGAAAATTATAGCATAAGGATGTATATATATATATATGCGTGTAAGAAAAATAAAGAATATGTAAAAGATTAAATTAGCAGCATAAATTAATTTTTCTTCTCTATTCTAAAAATAGTAATCTCTCTGCACTGCATCTTTTAGAGATTAATTATGTTATCTGGCTCTTACATAATTCTGATGATGTAAATGGAACTAAAACAGCCAATAATAATTTTACAGCAGTATTAATTATCCAATCAAAATGCATTGAGAACCAAAACATCTCTAAACCATCAAAATTCTCGCTGTTCATTACGAATTCAACCACCTGTGTTCTACTACAGAATCTATTATATATATATATATAAAGAGAAAAAATAAAAATATTGTTTAATTTCAAATTTAAAAGAAAATAACTGTTTAAACAGGAATAGCTTCTATTAAGTGCTGCTTTTTAAAATTAACTTTCAAGCCATAACAAGTAAACCAAGATAAACACAACTTAATGTATCATTAATTTTTTACATTGTAAATATTATTCATATTAGTTATCTTTTTTAATAAAACAATTTACTGATTATAGACTATTGTCACTAAGCTTTTTAAAGAAATTTATTAATTAGTTTTTTTTTACCTGCTTTCTAGAGCTCCAACTACAATAGCTATTAGGTATGATGGAATAGGAACCTAAAAAGTAAAAATCTCTCAGTGAGTACAAAATACACTCATAAATTTGTTGACTGCCGTGGGGGTCACCGGTGACGCAACCAATAGTAAAATACATAATTAGAGTAAATATCGATTATGCTGATAAATTTTTAAATAGTACCATTGTTACAGAGAAATATATTCTTCCATTGCTTCTTTCCTCAAGGCCACTAAAATTATTTGCATTAATTCCTGATTTATTAAAATGTATAATTATTCTTCTTTTTCAAATTAAAAAATGTACAAACGAATCTAAAAAATAATACCGAGAGCAGCAAATAATACCGACTTATTCTTTTGGTTTAAATAAAAAATCTGCTGTTGATTCTAAAGACTTTAACACCTAGAACATTTCCATAATTACAGGAAAACATGAAATAAGAAAAGATGCACCACAATCATTCACATTTGTTAATTCTCGTATTTTTTTTAAAACAAACAAACAAAAAAAAAAAAAAAAAAACTCTGAATCTAGCTGATATTTATTTCATGTTCCCAAGTTTTTCATCAATAAATTCCCTTCAATATAACTAATTTGATATTAAAACTAATACAATAAGAAATGTTAAATTTTGCTAACTAAACCTAATGGATAAAGTTTATCCAAACTAGTGAAAATTTCCTCATCAGGAATTTAGATTCTTCAGTAATCACACAGGGGTACAAAAGATTGTTGAATACTTGTATTTTATCTCAGATTTGGTTCCTGGCAACAGACAGATTGCACATGGTTTTCCTAAATGGAATAGGAATAAAAATAAGTTTCTCTTAAAATGTCCATTAAGAGAGATTTTATGTGCTTTGGCATACTCATTCAAACAATCAACCAGGAAACAGTGAATTTTGAAACAATCAGCTAGAGCGTCTCATAAAATAACATTTGAAATCGAAAAACTAACTGAGTAATGTCTAAAACAAAAACAAATGATACAGAATGATCCCATTGTTGATGTTACAAATATCTATAGCTTACCTTTCACAACTCAGATGTAACACAATTAATTACACACACTTTATGATATCATACCATTGTACTCTCATCTTTGTATTACAGCGTTAATTCATCCATGTGGCTGACAAATTCCCAATATACATAACATCAGAATTCCCTTTTACCTTCCAAATGCAAATAGCATATACAGTCAAAAGTCGTTAATTCGGACACACATAATCCGGAATGATCTATAATCTGGACTTCAAAGCTACAAACTTTCTGCGCATGCGTCCCATTGAGGCATGCGCATAGGCGTTTACGTGCACGCGTAAGACCTTTACGGCTGCAAATATGCTTGTGCGCATGCTCATAAAACGTTTACGCATGCGCGTTTAATGTATAATAATGGATGGTATCAGCTAAAATGATCTAATTCAGTTAATGTTGCAGATTGCGTTGTTCCTTAATCTTCGAATTGGATCCAGCTTATTATTTTTTGCAGACTGTTAGAGCAATTTTATAAAAGTAAGCTTAAACTTTCGATTATATCAAATAGAATTTCCGATATATATTTGTTAATATGTAAAGGATCTAAACCAAAAGTATGTTTCGAAATCCGAAATCTGTTTATCAATTTCACTGCTCGCGCTCGGGGGGGGGAACGCCCGCGGCAATGAATTGGAAGTTGATCTGTCAGCACTATCCTTATCTTCAGGGCAGATGTTTTTATTTTATTTGGCTTATAATTCCTTACTAAATGTAGTATTTCATCTCGATGTACTCCGTCTTTGATATGATTTAAAACAAGTTCCTCGTCATTATAATTCGCTTCCGATAGTGAAGAAAGTGACAGAGGTTATTGAAAACGAAAAAATTTCGATTGACAAATTAGTCGGTATTCTCGACACAGCAATTATAGGACTTGAACAGCGGAACTTTGTAACTAAACAAGAAATTATGTCTGTTTAATAGAATTAAAGAGAAAGTATTATCACATGAAACAGAGCAACTTAAACAACTTACATTGAAAGAAATGTTTAATAAAGTAAACAAATAAATATTAAGCTTTTTCTTTTCGTAAATTTTGATACCCTTTAGATCATAATTGTTCTTTATTTCATAAATTACGGTTTCATATTTTTAATTTTGTAATTTCTGCATGCCATCTTACCAGATTTAAACTGATGATCTATAATCTGGAATCGCCGAAGTCCCGACGAGTCCGGATTAACGACTTTTGACTGTACTCTATTAATATAACAAAATAAGTCTTTTCAAAATACTATGCATTTTTAGTAATATTTTGATAGCAGAAAAGCTAATATTTATGTTATTTAGATAATTCAGAGAAGACACTTCACATTTAACATGATGCATACTTCAGATATTATGCAATAAACCATTTCGGCCTTTTTTGAAATTTACTTCTTTGAAACGTATGCTCAAAGTTCAGCAATCAAAATTTCATTTGGAACTACAATTTTCTGTTCATTTCTCATCAAGCCCGCAAAAATATCTGAAGCCTCCAAATGACACTGACAGTTAATTCCTTAAAGAAGCTTATTCTTCCTGTCTTTCAGGATATCAAATAAAAAATGCTTTTGTGCAAGCAGAACTGAAGAGAATTTTACAAAAGTTGCTCCAATTTCACATACCTGTTGTTATGTTGATAAAGAACATTGCCTCATAGATTTGAATAATTCACTTCAGAACTGATTCAAAGAACCGTTTCACTTTATTGAGTGAATTTATTCCAATTCCAGAAAATGGAATTGTAGCGCTTTTACTGTTCAAAGACAGTTTTTATTGAAAGCATGCCAGAAATACAGATCTGGTATTCATTCATCACGGTTCATACACATTTCTGCACACGAAAATTAAGGACTTTTAAGGACCATTAATGAAAGAAATTAAGGACCTATGAGCAAATGGGAACTGAATAAATTCAATTAAAAATATTATTCTATGCCTGAATTTCACTTTGTAATACCATCCTAAAAATAAAATAGATCCCTATAAGTATACATTATTACTAAACATGAATTAACATAATTATTAATAAGTTTGAGAATAAAATAAACCTCATGCAGTTTATCAAGTAGCATTAAACTTTAAATTTGCTTTTTTACGTATATACATGTTTGCTAAAATTTAAATTTGCTTAAATTTACAGCATAAATAGGTTGGACATATTTGAAAGAAGATAAGTGACATTTATGTTTTACTAATAGTTAGCTTTATGCTGAATTTTTTTATGTCTCATTTTGTTACATACTTGGTCAGTCTAGAGCAAAGGTTCTCAACCGGTGATACGCAAGAAAAAAAATAGGTGGTACACAAAGAAGCAAAGTATTTTTAACTATTTATTTCAAAAATTAAAATCCCAACATCCTGATTGAGGTTTTTTCTCTAACACTCGCAAATTTATGCGATCTGAGCTTTATTCAAGAGTGGTGGTGGTAGTAGTATTTTGTAGTGGTGGTACTAAAGATTTTCAATTTTTGTTTAGATGGTACACGTTAGTCAAAAGGTTGAGAACCGCTGGTCGGTCTAGAGGTTTATTAAATAGCAGGTAGATTTTATGTCAATCAGCATAGGTTAAAATGAGAAGTAAAATCATAATTCAGAATGATTTGTAAGAAAAGACTGGCTATTGTGACTACATTGCTGCTTGTCTAGAGAGAGACCTGCTGATTAGAACAAACCTGAAAGGCTTGATGTAGGCATGGTTGGCAAGTCTAAAATTTAGTCAGGCTCTGTTTCATGCAGTTAGTGTCATAGCTTCATGTTACAGGGATTGTAACCTAATTAATACACTTTATTTATTCACTAAAGAACATCACAACAAAATTTTGCTTAGAACAAACAATAATCCAATGAGACCTATAATCATTATACAAAGAGAAAAGACATCTGTATATTTTTCTGTTCTCATATTCCAAATGAAATGACGATAGTTCAGAAAAAATGAGCATTCTACATGTTACCTGCAGCAAAAACATGTAAATGTTGGTTCTAATTAATGTTAGTTCTAAAAGCATATTTGTGAATTTAATTTCTCACCACTGGATCTCTTTATCAGTTTGCAATACAAAGATTTTCCATTACAGTGTCTCACAAATGTGATGGGACACTTGTGCTTTACAAAAGGAAACTGTAATAAAATAAATTAAAAAAACATGTACAAATTTTTTGTGGGTGTGTTTCATACTTAAATTTAGTAACAATTATTACATAACATACATTTTCTCAAAATATTACTTTAATAAAAATACAATTGTTTAGAATCGAGCAAAAAATGGTTCACATAAGTGATGGAACACCATTAGATACTACTACGTACTATGCAACAAAAATCGTCTGAAGTAAGCAATAAAAATTTTTTGGGGTTTTATTTTTACTCAAAAGCAATTGGCAATAATTTATAAAATCGTCTGCAGTATTTCTCTCCAGTTTGTTTTGGAATTTTTGTGTTTTTTAGCTCTGTGCAGCCATGAATGCTAAACGAAAAGAAACTTTGCCTGAAATTCGAAAATTAGTTATTAATTTGCATATTGAACGTGGAAATCTATTAGAGAAACTGCTGAAACAGTTAACCTGAGTCATTCAACAGTTTTCAATATCATTAAAACGATATAAAAAGAATCATATATGATTCAGGATAAAAGAAGACCTGGCCGACCATCAAAGCTATCCAATGGAATAAAGCGAATTATCATTTGAAATATTAAAAAAAAAATCCAAGAATGAGTGCTTCTAAAGTTGCTGCTGATTTACAAGCATTATATGGAGTAATTGTTAATCTTGAGACTATTGGAAGAGTAATTCGATCTGCTGGATATCATGGTAGAGCAGCCAGAAAAAAACTCTTCGTAAGTGAAAAGAATAGAGAACTCAGACTGGCTTTCGCAAAATCCAACATAAATAAGAATTCTGATTACTGGAATGAAGTTATATTTGCTGATGAGAGTAAATTTAATATATTTGGTTCTGACGGTAGAATCTTGGTGTGGAGAAAACCCAGGGAAGAATTCCGCAAACAGAACTTGGTGCCAACAGTAAAACATGATGGAGGGGGAGTTATGGTATGGGGGTGTATGTCGTCCGCTGGAGTTGGTAATCTTGTTTTTATTGACAGTATAATGGATCAGTACAAGTATATTGACATTTTAAATCAAAATTTTAAATCTTCAGCACGAAAATTGAACCTTCATAACGATTTTAAATTCTACCAGGACAATGACCTCAAGCACACTGCTTTGAACGTTAGACTCTGGCTGCTGTATAACTGTCCTGAAATAATAAAAACACCACCACAATCTCCAAAGTTAAATCTCATAGAGAATATTTGGCAAGAATAGGAATCAAGAATTCGCAAACACACCATTTTTTCAAAACAACAATTAAAATCGGTGCTTCAAGAAGAATGGGGTAAAATCACTCCAGAAATCACAAAAAAATTAGTCGAATCCATCCCAAGAAGATTAAATCATGTTTTAAAAGTAAAAGGAAATCCAACAAAATATTAAAAACCTTTTAAAAAGTAAAATTTTTGGATAAATATTTGATGGAAAAGTAAGTGTCCCATCACTTATGTGAGCCATTTTTTGCTCCGTTCTAAACAATTGTATTTTTATTAAATTAATATTTTAATATTTTGAGAAAATGTATGTTATGTAATAATTGTTACTAAATTTAAGTATGAAACACACCCACAAAAAATTTTTACATTTTTTTTAAAATTTATTTTATTTTATTACAGTTTCCTTTTGTAAAGCACAAGTGTCCCATCACTTTTGTGAGACACTGTATATATCACCCTTCCTAGACACACATTTGGAAAATAAACACTATTTTATGAAAAATGAAACACATCAAAGGAAATTTAAAATAATATGCTCATTAATTTTCCCCTTCATTTCTCAAACATTTTATGCTCATATTTAGGATTTCCATATTACATTTAAAAACATATTATGCTAATCCCTGAATTGTTTTAGTTAACATAAAAACTTAATATTAAAAATTTTGCTGTCTCAGGCAGGCAGGCTGGCAGAGGTCTAATCTAAAATTATCTTCTCTTTGGAAAAAAAAAGTAACATTTCACAGACATTTTAAATGGGAACTGTGATACTAAATAAAAAAAACTTCTTCAAAATCCAGATAATTCTTTATTTTAATCAAAGCAAATACAGGTATCCAGAATTAATGGTATGTAAAATGAGAAATTATACTTTCTAAAAGTTTACAGCAAGTTAAATAATGCAAATCAAAGCAAAAATAAGTGTACAAAATAAAATTTACTCAAACACATTTCAAATCTTACCTTTTGAACAAACTTATATTTTTTCATAAGCGGATCATCATCAATTTCCTCCCCATCACGCACAGCACTCATTAGAACTATTAATTCATAGGGTGCACTAATCTGAAATAATAATAAAAAGAGGACTAAGTATTAATGCTAAATAATGTTTATACACATATAATGCTATAAGCAAGTATATAAATAAACAGAACTAATTTCACAAAAATAACATAGAATCTGAACAAAATTAGAGTAAAAAATATACTATACATACATCAGCTGAATAGGTTGTTTTAACAAATGGCGTATCTTGACAGGGAAGAACAGAACGTGCATGAATAGCCTGAAAAAGAAACATACTGAGTTTGTTTCAGTGAAGGGAAAATTTTTGATAACATTTTTATTGAAAACTGCAGAATACTTAAGTCCATCCTGACAACAACAAAAAGAATCAAATCACAAATTAACACTTTAGAAGGTTTTTTAAAGCAGGTTTTTTTCAGCAAATCCAAATGCACCACTACAGGAAGATGATAAACCAGCTCAGTACGTAATTACAGTTGCATCAGGAAAAGAGTAAATATACATATATATATATAGATATACATATATATATATAAATATTATCGTTTTTTAGGATGATCTTAATATGTATCATTTACTTTACTAAAATATAATATTCAATTTTGTAATTTAGGAATTTCTTCCCCCTTATCATGTATTATCAACTTGACATTACCCTCAATTATCAGCTGTATTTTATAAACCTGAAAACATAGAAACGCAATTTGATTTTATGCATTTCAGTATCAAGTGAATCTTGAAAACTGATTGTTCATTATAAAACTTTATGTAGTTTTTATTCAAAGCGGATCCACTCAGATAATGTGCCGCAAATTATTTCCATACTAAGTTTTTGTGCAAATAATACGTCCTGCTAGGTGTTTTGTAATAAAATGATGTTATTAATTGATTTCGAATTTCATTGCATCTTGATAATGCTGCCAAAGATTCAATCAAGAATAGTATCTTTTACTACGTTTTATGTGTATGGATACATAGACCATTTCTCCATGTACTAGAAAAATTTTCATAATGATTTATCCACTTTTGAAGTAAAAAAATAATAGTTAGGAGTGTTATACGATTTTATAATACAAGTAAAAAAAAAAATATATAAAGCTCTGGAAAGAGCTAACACATATTTATGGAATATTATGGATGGTAATTTTATGAATATTATGGATGAATGAGTAAATGGAATATATGTGCATGCCTATATATGTATACACATATCATCAAGTATAAAATCATTTATATATAATTTTTATGTCGTGATGAAATTACCGAAACGCTTAAAAATCTAGTATTTTTAAAAACTCTTTTCTCCCACAGAAATAACGGCAAATTATAAAACATTACGCAACATTGAAAAGCGTGATAAACAAATTTTGCGAAAAGAATAGCGACTGCTGCACGATCCACAGATATCTTTCATTCAACACCAAAGTTTGAAAAGTCTATTCCTGTCAAAACAACCCTGCATCTGAGTCATAGATGGAAGAAATGACACAGGTCTTTGTTCACTGAGGGGAAGTGTTTTGGCTTACTCACTTTCCCGCCAACGAGTACAGTGGAAGGTAAGCTTCGGGCCATAGAACCAGGGTAGTAGTCTTACAGATTTGAGTCTTTATCGCTCAACGTTCGTAGCACCATCTGTTATTAAAAATCGACATGAGAAAGGGGTATTAAACGCTCATAAATACTCCTTCTAACTCATTTGCATAAAACGCAATATTAAAAAATCATTCTCATAGGGAATAGTAGATGGAAAACGAGAATAGACAGTAAAGTATGTTTAAACTTAAAATAAGTATTAGAAACTTAAAGTAACCTCTACAACATCAAATTAAAGGAAGTTTTCATCATTTTCTTCACACAACTACATAAATAATCTAGAATTCAACATGTTACTCTAAATTTTGTTTACTGCGATTAAAATGAATTGAAGACATTGGTGTAATCTGGCACTCAGATTTTTAGCAACAAAATGTTGTCTATGGATAGATATTACAGTGAACTGAGAAACCCAGGGTACATTTTGTTTTAAATGACTTACAAAACCACGATAGTTCCCAAACATGGCAGGTGCTGCATCTGCTGCTATTTGATGAAGGAACTGCTTTTTCCAAGGAATAATTTCTCAAAAAACTGAATAAGGATTCCCCTTTAATGCTTGTTTTCAAAGTTCTAGCAAAGAGCAGTTCTACAGAATTTCTTGGTCCATAATAATGACCATATGTCAGTTATAATGTTTCATTACCGGGTAAAGTTGACTCATCCAACTGTATAGAGAAATGGGTAATATGTAGATAATTACAACAGAAGCTTTCAACATCATCATTTATTTTATTAAAATGCCTTTGACATCTGTTGTTGCTCAAAGGAATTCTTTTGAGTACATGATATGCAGGTTTGTGCAGAAGTTTTTAAAACCTCTTTAATGGCTTGCAAAATAAGCTGTTCTGATAGCATCTGGCTTTAATGATTTTCTTATAAGTAACGAGATATTGCATTATGCCTGCAAATCAACACTGTCTCTTTTTGATGTCAATGCAAACTATCCACCATGGTTTTTCTTTTAGTGTTTGAAAGAATTTTATCTCTTCACCTATTTTATTAGGGTTACACCCTCTCAGCTGATCCTCTAGCTTCGATGGCTTCATAAGTGTCATTGCTTAAAATTTTGCTACACAAAAGGCATATGAATGGGCATTTGTCTGACAGTGACAGAATGAAGCCAAACTTCAAATAATCAATACTATACTGCCTATATTTCTTTACAGATATGGCCATGTTTAGTAGCAGTTATCCATCGAAAAAAATTAAGAAATTTAATTTAGATTAATTTAATATTAGATTTAAATATAAGACACAGTAATTTAAAAGTGACTCCCAGTGAAAACATTATTTTAATCTTGAGTTGGGTGTTTTTTAAGTTGGGGCATTATTTATACCAAGTTGTACTAACTAAATAAAGTTACTTTGCAACATTTACCTTATACAAAAGTGTTCAAAAAATTTATAATCCCACCTTATGTTTATCACAAAATAATTTAATCTGTTCAAAAGCAAAACATACTACTTGCACTACACGAAACTGGATTAAATGTTATGATGCAAAATATTGCATTAGTTTTTAAAGAACGATACTTTGTTTACCACAAAATATAAACAATCTGCAGAACTATATTAGTTATTATTTTTAGACATGTTTGTTTTAAATTTTAGAAATTCCCCAGGATTTTAAACATGATTGGAGTCTATGCAATCAGAGGAACTGCAAAAAGAATATTTAATCAACAATTAAATAAATTTACTTATTTTTCTCAAAGTTTAAAGAAGATGACTTTGATTCACTTTAACTTGTATGTGAAAATATTTGCTTTTCTTTATTTTTCCCAAAATTCAGAAAACAAATGCAGTGTTTATCTTTGACACTCATATTTATAACTGATGAATTAAATAAGTTTATGCAAGCACAGATGCTTCATGTATGCACTGACCTTGCAAGCTTTGGTACATGTCTGGACAAATGTTCCTCATATAAAATATGCAAGTTTTTACAAGTACTATGACCACAAAGCAAATAGAAACCTACTTACACAAGTTTATGAAATATGCTTAATAAACACAGTACAAAGTCCGAAATCTGGACTGGTTGAGACTTCGGCGATTCCGGATTTGGGATTTTTCCTGATAATAGATCATCAATTTAAATCTGGTAAAATGGCATGCAGAAATTATACAATTAAAAATATGAAATTGTAATTTATGAAATAAAGAACAATTATGATCTAAAGGGTATCAAAATTTACACAAAAAAGCTTAATATTTATTTGTTAACTTTATTAAACATTTCTTTCAATGAAAGTTGTTTAAGGTGCTTCCACAAAAAATTCAAAAAGTTCGTTTTTCTTTTTCCTTGTGTCATATGTAGGGGACTTTCCAATGCCATACTCTTCACATAATTTTGAGACAGATAAGCTTTTATAAATTTTTGCAGCAATTCGACTTTTTGTTTAATGGACATCGAAACATGGTTTCGCTTTGTAGATCCTTTGGCAACTCCAGAATTGGAAACTCTTTTCAACATAATCGAAGGTTCAAGCTTAGTTTTAATAAAATTGCCACAATAATAAGCTGGATCAAATTAGAAGATCAGGGAACAGCACAGTCTGCTACTTTAATTGAAATGTCTTATAATCAGTAACGATAATTTTATCCTAGCTTAATAGTGTCCATTATACATTATTTGCTCTGTATAACAAGATTGGCGACGAAAGCCAAGTTTTAATTTAGAAGTCAAACAACAAAAATCAGAGTTATATTTTCAAATTTTCACAGGGCTAGTTTTGATGGTTTTACTGAGCTTTTGCAGCTGAGGATGATGATTCGGTAAAACCATCAAAACTAGTCCTGTGAAAATTTGAAAATATAACTCTGACTTTTGTTGTTTAACTTCTAAATTAATATTTGTTTGGCGTGTTATTGTATTTTAATTATAGTAAGCCAAGTTGTTTCACTAAATTTTGTCTTGTTCCTATTGTGTACTGAATTAAGCCTGAGTTGTATTAGTTTAGTTATTTACTAGACCTACGTTTATTTCTTGCAGATACTTCAAACTAATCTGAGTCCTGAATAAATAAACTACTACATATACTTAAGGCTATACTAGAGCCGGCACTCGATACCGCCTGGTGCAGTCTCTACAGGTCTTAAATTCTGCTACAAGGCACCTTCCTAAGTTCTAAATTTTCACTGTGCCTAAACTTTGGATCCCAGCGCTTTCTCTAAATCATAAAAACTTCTCATCCCTTAATTTTGTCTCTCGGTGCTTCACCAAATTCCAAAAAATGTTTTCTTTCCTAAATTCTGCCGCGTTTTGCCAACATAGTCTGACGCCGCTTCTGAGTTTACGGCGAATAACATTTCAGTTATTCTTAATTAAAACAGCACTAAATGTAATCTTTCGGCCTATGAGTTTCGTTTATAAAATCTATTTTTAGCATATGAAAAGACAGTTTTGTTGAATTTTTTCTCGTCAACATTTCTTAGAATATTTAAAAATCTATAATCATCGCCAAGCGTAATGTTAGCATAAAATGTTGCCTACTCTTGTTATTAAATTACTAATATAAAAAAAAAAGTTTAGGCATCACAGCATGAGTTATTACTGAAGCTGTCATGTATTGATAAACATGCGGTGATGAAAGCAAAATATAATAAATAATGACTTGCCAGGTCGGCGTCAGGGATATAGAATATGTGAATTTTTGTGTTTGAGATGTATGCTAAGTGGATACTCAGCTATGGAGCCAAATTATTAATCTCACAAATTTATGTTTACATGATTGTTTTTCCATAACAAGGTATTTTATTTAGTGCCTAAGTGAAATTAAGAATTGGAATTTTTAAGTGAAAATCTCTACATGTTTTATTCTGGAAGGAAAAATCAAATGCACATGCGTAAAGCATTAATTAAAAAAAGAAATGTTTGTTGCTTTAAAGTTCGGTTTTTAGATCATTCCGGATAATGGACAGTTTTCGGGCTTTGTACTGTATATGATTGGCTAATTTATACGCATATTACATAAGTGTTATGAAAGTACATAGGTAAAACCTGTGTTATGTAGCATTATGGCATTTACAAAATACTTAAATTTTAGTGATAACCTGCTTAAATTTGATCCAGTCTTGTGGGGTTCATATCTCATGCACCCCAATTTTTCTTTCAATGACATGGACCTCTTGCAGGTCAGAGTAGACTTCTCAGGGCCCATATAGACCACTCTAGGAATCTATGGGATAGATGGACACAACCACTGTGATAAGTCTTTTATTTGCCATTCGCCTTTCTAGATTACAGAGTTTTTCACAAAGCAGAAAATAAAGAAAAGATTAAAACTAAAATATTTTAATTGCTAAAAAATAATAACAGTTTGTATTTTAACTAAATCAATTAAGAAACTTACTCTTATGAATTTCTTATGCTCTTTTTTTTTAAATGTATGTTTTTTTTAAGGCCAATTATAAAATTATTCTATTAATATTATAAAATTATTTTAGAGGTTTAAAAAGAATTTTACTTGATTCATTTAATTTTTTATTCACCATCATTTTAGGATCTCATAAACAAACTTTCATGTTACCCCCCCCCAAAAAAAAATAAGGTATAAAATACTTACTTGGCACTGACTGAACATATATGGATGTTTCTTCCCGGCAGTTTGATTAGGTTCTAACCACTGCAATGCACTTGCTTTAGGTGAAGTTTCATATTCAATTCTTACAGCACATCTAGGAATATGTAACTAAAAATTACTAATGGAATCAATAACTATTTCAAAAAAATATTTAAATTCACATTACTTTGAACACTTTTTATCTTTAAAGAAAAATATTACAAAAAGTCTACAATACTTAGAATTTAAATCCATTAACATATATTTCGAGAGAGCATATTAACGTATATTTTAATATGGTCATTACATAATATTTTAATATGCCATTAACATGTATTTTAGTTAATTACAAACAAAGTAAAAACTAATTTGAAGTTTTAACATGCACATATTAATATATTTTCTATAACAGTAATAAAAATGACAATTAGTAGCTTTTTATGTGCTTTAGCATATCATTTTTTATAACCAAAAAGAAATCACACTAAATATGTAGACTATACTAATTTTACAGAAAGCAAACAATTTATGAAAATCATTACATTGGAAAATTATCATCTATTATCAGTTAACAATAATCATATGTAAATTTAACAAATTAATAGATCACAATTTATTAAAATAAAAATTTGTTATGATGAAAATGATAAATTAATTTAGTGTATATCAAGAATTTTGCAGTTTAGTATTACTGCTTCATTTTTATTCAATCAAATTTAGTTGAAATTCAAAACATGTAGAGCATGTATTTCAAGTTAAATGTGGATTTTGATATTTATTACAAAGGGTTTGTAAAAGTTTATACAACTAAACAGCTCTTGACAAATTCACTGAAAACTGGTTTAAAATAAACAAAAACCAAAGAAGAAAGTTTTTTTACTATGATAATTTAGTAATGTGATGACTTTCATAAAAACATACAAATTTCCAATTTCTATGTGTGGTGCCCCATCCCCACACCAAAAAATTACCCATTAGTTAATTACTCTGCAGCGACATTAGGTATTTTGGAAGCAGGAAAGATACAAAATATACAATGCCTTCACCGGGAATCTAACCGCGGACCTCTGGAATACGTGCCCAGCGTGCAGACCACCACACCATGAAAGCATGCCAAGAAGGCAGGAGAAATACCTTATATACTCCCCCTTTTAATGGGCAATTGGGGTTTTTAGGGGACCGAGTTGCCAATTCCTGGGTGTGGAGATTTACCATCTACCACCCTTTTAGTTTGGGCACCACTGTAAAGACATTAGGTATTTTGGAAGCAGAAAAGATGAAAAATATGCAACGCCTTTGCCGGGAATTGAACCACGGACCTCTGAAAAGGCAGAAGAAATACTTTACAACTCTATATGTTTACATTATTCGTACGGAACATTTGCTAATGACTATCCAAGAAATTGATTCTGTGATAATAGCTTTTTATTTTATTTCCTTAGTTCACGTAAAAAAAATATATTTATTGAAATGCTTTTCTGTTGTGCATGTGCAGAAATCTATCTTTATGTCAGATCTTGCATGACAAAAAAAGTGTCAGGGTCTGATGATCTACATTTGATTAATTTCTTCAACTAAAATTATGGATCTGCAATCAGTGGTAAACCTACAGCAATTAGGGCCTTAGGCCCCCTTTATTGAAATGATCACCAGGGCTGTGGAGTCAGTATGGAAAATGACTGACCCTGACTCCTGGAATTTAATAAAGTAGGTAAGTTAGAATTAAAACTTATTATTTACTTGCTTTAAGAATTTTTAAAATATTTTTTATGTAGTATTTAAGTATTTTCTAGATATGAAATTATATTTTTAAGTATATATATTTTTAAAATTATGAATTATATCTTTGTTTCTTATTGTTTATATAAATTATGGTCTAGTTCCTTTTAGTTTCTTTTTATTGATATGCATCGTTCTTGTCGGGAGGTTTCTGTAAACAAGGGTTTCTAAATTTATTTTCTTGAAAATTAATTTTTTTTAAATTTAATTTTTTTAAAAGTTTAATTTAATACTTGCTTTCATTGCTTATTTTCTTAAAAACTTCTTGGTATTTTCCTTTAGAACTTTAATTTTTAATTGCTAATTTCTAAAGGTACCACTTTTTGTTTCTTTTTGGGCATTCTTCACTCTTTACTTTTGGTTTGACTTTACCCTTGCCTGCATGAATACGAAACACGATTGATGATTCGAGAGTTAGGTTTGGAGCACTTCACTTGATAGTCTGTCTCCTGCCTGCTCACAGTCTTACTTATGCATTAAAATTTTTTTAGATTTTTTTTAATTTGCTAAATTGGTGAATTTGTTTTCATGGTTTGGTTTTCATTTGATTGCTTATCTATCTGAATTTAAATGATATTGAAGATTGGTTCGAATATTAAAATTTTATATGTTTGCACATTTTTTAATTTATTTTAATTTAAATTGCTTTTTACGTATATACATGTTTGTTAAAATTAAATTTGTTTAAATTTAAATTTCTTCCTTGCAGCAATGGCGCAAAGAATTAATAAATTGTATTTAAATTAAATTTATTCTTATGAACAATAATATATATATTAAAAAAGCAAGGTAGTTAGTACAATTTGTATAACCATATATATGTATGTATGTAAAATATACACATGGGTTACAGCTTATTTTTTGGTTCTTTCCGTTTCGCCGGCGCAAAGTTCGCCAAAGCAGACTTTGTGGCGACAACATACAGTATACACATAAAAAATGTTAACGAATGTTAGTTTCTAATAATTTTTATTTTTCAAGCCATAACATTTAATATGGTTTAAAATTTTGTAAAAGACATTAATTTAGAATTTACTATGCTATCATGTACAACATCTGATTCGCCAGTTTCGATCACGTGACCCCAAGTGATCTCATTTCACGTAACTATGCTAAAAAAATCTGATTCTCTCAGTAATACCTACATAATTTCAGTTAAAGCTAATTTGGAATACAAGTTTGAATGCAAGAATTATTTCAATTTGTACGAAAAGCTTACTCAAATTATTATGTAAACCGCAGTGCTTTATTTCATTAATGCGTTCTCATTAGAATAGATGAATTTAACTCTTGATTTTGCCTTTTTCTATATTTTCGCTTCAGTGAGCGGTGCATTCTAATTAATTACCGCGAATTGTTGTTTAGGCATAAAATTTAACTATCTTGTAAAAAATTCTATGTAATGTATGCCAGTATTGAAAGAAACAATCAATCTGATAAGAAATGGTAGCGACTTGTTTGAAATGAGGCGTAAAAGGTTACCAGCGAAGATACATTATGGTGACTTTATCGTTTGCGCCGCCCACAAACGGAAAAGTACCTATTTTTTTAATTAAAATAAAGAAGTAATAGATGCTACAGAAAGAAAATTTGATGGCATAGTAATTATTATATTAATTAGCATTTATTATGAATGGAAAAATGCATTATTATTTCTAAGAAACAGTATAGATTCGGCCCGATTTTCTTGTTGGAGGGCCATACATCCGATTTGATAAACTTTAGAGGTGATAAGAGCCTTTCCATATAAACTTGAGTAGGAGGAAGAGTTGTGGAACTACACTGATGTGCGCCCTCAAGTCGCCAAATTTCTCGCCAAACATTTTTGGCGAGAAACTCCATGCTACCATATTACTATCTAAATTTTTTGTCTACATTTCGAACTTTAAGCCTAAAATGTCTCCAAAAGCGCGGTTTTCGCACATGCAAAAACCACGTTTTAAGCATACAATTTAAGCTAAAAATCCGAAACAAAAACAAAAAATTTAGATAGCAAAAAATGTAAAGTTTCTAACCAAAAATATTTGACAAGAATACAAGTACACAGCGATATGTTTTACCTTAAACATTTACGAATGGCACAATCTAGGCAACGAACGAATCTACGAACTACGCACACCTCGCTTTAATAAATTAACATAACAACAATAAATTTCAAAGAATACAGCGTTCTATTTCAACTTAAAAAAAATCTAAGAATTGCACAATCTAGACGCTATACACTAATAAACTAAAATAAATTTCAAACAATTCCAGAAAACAAGAATAACGACAGAAATGCATGCTAAAAAAACAATGAACATAACATTCTACAAAATAAGAATAAAATACAGTTACCATGAATTAATGCTTTTTCGAACAGCAGAATTACTAATTTCATACCGCCTTTAACATGCCGCCACATAATTGCTATCATATTTATATGACAGCCAGGCACACTATCTAGAAAATTTATACTGTGTTTCACAAATAATCACAAATCCCTACTTCTATCACACACAGCCACTAAAAATAATCTCCCCGGTCCTCTTTTCACACCTCCAAATACCCATTGCCCCTCAACAAGATGGCCACGATGATATTTCCTTTTGCCAAACTTCAATTTCACAATTTCTTCCATTTTATCTTTCCCCTTTTCGCAAACCAACGAGCTCCAGGGAAAGATTTTTCAACGTCAACAGAGTTGCCATACAACACGCAATTGTGCCAAAAACCAGCGCAGAACACATATCGCCACATTTGGTGAAATTAGGGCGTATATCAGAGTTGTACCAGAGCTGTTACTGTTAGGGCTACTTCTTTTAACTTTTCATGATAGATTTTTATAAGTTCTAAAAGACGTGTCTTGCAAGTGCAATCATAGTTCTCTATTTCTTCAAAGGCGGTGTAGAAATCTTGTTTGTATTTTTTCATTTTTATATCTAAAGGCTCCTGTTTTTTTATTTTCATTCACTTTGCCTTAGCCTTTTCAATATTATCCAGGGCTTAATTTCTAAAATTAGAAGTGCCGGAGCCCTATGGAAAACCTTCAGCAAAGAGGAACAAGAGTAAATAAATAAATAAAATGACTATTAAATTCATTAATAATTTTAAAATTAAATAAGTAATTACTATCAAATTAATTAATAGCTATTTAGTTAGTGTTTATAAACTGTTATTTAATCAATAATTATTATACAATTAAATAATTAAAATTAAATTAAATGTAAAGAGAGGAATTAAAATTTAATAGGTGATTTTTAAAAAATGATTTTATTGCTAAAAATGAAATTTTCGAGATTAAATTTCAACTGAAATTGTTATTCAATTACATAAAAGAAGTGCCACAACCTTCTTATTTAGGGCTCTGGTGCGCTCCGGCTAGCATCATGATTTATTACAAAAACGAAGAAGCATCGGAGCCGGGAGCCGTTGAGCTCCGGTGCAATTTAAGCTCTGATCAAAGGGGGGGGGGGGAGTTCTTTTATCATCACAAAAATTAAATATACTGAAAATATAGCTGATGAAAATTCAGATAATGCTAAAAAGAGAGCGAAACACAATGTGAGGGTATGAGTGGGTGGAAACAAAAAATGAGGGGAATTTTGATGAGAGAGAACGTTCTCTTTGACCGCGGCACTTTGCTGATATAATTATAGCCATCATGCGGATGTGTGTCGGGTAAAATGAGTCCTGAATCTGATGCCTAAGGATGAATATAAAGTTGCTGGTTATACTTTTCATCTCTCGTATTTGGTTACATTAGTGGATACTGTGGGAAGACGATGTATAGGATATGCTTGAGCAGTTTACCTCAGTATTTCACTCTTATTGTACTAGCTGTCATTTAACGCACATTTAAGAACACAAATTTTCCTTCCTGTGAGGATAACTAACAGCAAGCATTCATAACAATACTTATGGCGAGAAACTTGGGCGTTCCTAAACAAATTCCCCCAAATTTATTGCCCTTCTTAAAGGGAAAGGTTTCTGCATGCGAGTGACGAGACTTTACTTAAATGTCTTGTGTTCTCATGAGCTCGTATTTCTACATAAATAGAGTATTGCAAGATCTGCTTATTGTTTAAACTAAAATGTTAGGAATTCTAAATTTTTTTTCCCCATGAAATAGTGGCTGAGCTTTATTAAAAGAAGAACAGGAGCTCATCTTATTTAGGGCTCCAGTGTACTCTGGCCAGAATTGTAATTTATCTTAAAAACTGAGAAGTACCGACGTAATTTAAGCACTGATATTATCCAAAAATATTTCTCAAAATCTAATTCATCACTGGAAAAGGATGATAGAGACTCAATTGCAATGCCTGCAGTTTGGCTGTCCTGATTCAAATTCTCCAATTGTTCTGAAAATAATTTAATTCTTAATTTGTTCATCATCCAAGAAAATTCGGTATTTCGGATCTCCATACATTGAACCCAAAAAGATCTCATTGTCTAGCAAACTAGTTTCTCTTTTCTTCATTGAAAAAATTATTCCTTCTGCAATATTGTCAATCGAAATTTTTGTTTCGTTTTCAATAACCTCTGTGTCACTTTCTTCACCATCGGAAGCGAATTATAATGACGAGGAATTTGATTTAAATCATATCAAAGACGGAGTACATCGAGATGAAATACTACATTTAGTAAGGAATTACAAGCCAAATAAAATAAAAACATCTGCCCTGAAGATAAGGATAGTGCTGACAGATCAACTTCCAATTCATTGCGCGCCGTGGCGTCTGATTCATTACAGACCGCAATATAGGAAGCTTAGCATAGATTCTGTTCTATATAGATGAATAGGTTTGATAATTTAAATACGTCAAACCGTTACTTTCCCATTTCACCGGCGCAAATCTCGCCAAGCAGACTTTATTGGCAACAACACAGAGTATACACATAAAAAATGGTAATAATGCTGCAGATCTCACAAGCAGACTTTACAGTCTAAAACCCACAGTATACACAAAACAAATTTTAACAATGTTAGTTCTAAGAATTTTTTACTTTGGAGGCATAAGCATTTTAATATAATTTAAACTTTTTTCAGATGGGTTTTGCGTTTCGCTTCTGCACGTAAATTTCGGGAGACAACTTTTCAGATGATGATGTATCGCTTCTCTGTATTTCTTATTCCCACAGCCTTTCTCATTTTTAAATTCCTACTATTAGCTCACACTCTCCCTGTATCTTGTTCAAATTTTCAATCGTTAATAAAATACTTTTATTCATCCACTCAAGTTCAAATACATTTTTTAAACTTGTAGTGGATTAAACTTGATGTTAATAAAGTTTTTTCACATATTAAAAAAAAAATTTTTGTATTTTTAAAATTTGTTTTTTTATTTTAAAAATTTTCTTTGTTGACCTAAGTAGGAATTGACTTAAATAATTTAATAATTTGTTAAAATATATTTAACTAATTATTAATTTTCAATCATTAATAAAATGATGACACTTGATGTTGATACAGTTTTCACATATTATTATTATTTTTATTTTTTATTTTAATTTTTTAAATTATTATTTTTGTATTTTTAAAATTTTCCTTTGTTGAGCTAAGCAGGAATTGACATTAAGAAAACTTGTTTTATATTACTTGTGTGTGCATTCCTGTTTCCGGATCGAAAGAATTGTATTTATGGTTCATTTTGAAGTGTTCAAAACTTTCCCTTCGCCAGTTTTTCAATGCAGTATAATTTCAACGAATTGGAATATATTATACTTCCATTTTTCAATATTTTCCTTAATTGCTTCTAATATAAAGCTAATAGATTGGTTTGGCACCTTCACAAGGAAACCTTTGTTTGTTTCAAGCTCTGATTAAACTCCACACAGATCCACTGATCGATCCCTCACTGATTTTGCACTTCGTGAACACACTTTCATCCACTTCGATGATCATACCAGATCCTCCTCTTTTTTGTTGTTGACATTTCAGCAAAGAATCCACACAAACATAGTGCATGTAGTAATTCGAAGTCAAAACTGTTTCATGACTGATTCACAGTTGCTTTTCACACCATTTAACTGATTTTAATTCTTCGCTTCAACCATAAATAAACCACTAATACTTCAAGAAACTCAATTTCGATGACTCAAACCAAATGCCTTTCTGGATACTTCTGTTACTGCCACAATTGAAAAGTTGCATAGCCACTGAATTTCAGGTCCAAAATAGAATTTTATTTCATGATTACTATCACAAATAGGAATTTTGGGCAAAATGCCTTTTGCTTGAAAGAATCCGACAGATTCTTCCTCTGTTCTGGGTAAATCACAAATTTTCATCCATTCTCAACATGTTAGGAAAAAGACGTGACTGATAAGAAATGGGCGCAAATTCTTTTGAAAATGAGACAGTAAAAGGTTACCAGCGAGGATTATTCTGTTTGGTGTCTGTTGTATCATTTCTGGTGACTTCATTGCCTATGGCGGTGAAATGGAAACGTACCATAAAAGCATACAAGGATTATCTGATTAAACACGGGAATGCTTTCGTAGACTTTCTAAGGCAAACTGGCTTGTATCTGTAACACATGGGAAAAACAAACTATGCACCCAGCATGAGTTCGAACCTGGGCTGAACTACCAGTATTCAATAGTCGTTTAGTCTAAATTTCAGGTTGCCCCTTGGATTATTGCCAAGTTGTTTTTTCATTTATCTCCAAATTGTTGTTTCATTTATGGGAACTTAAGTATCTGAATGTTATGGAAACCCTATTATGATGTGATTGCAGTGAATTTGACTGATGGGAAAATATTTTTAAGGACTTATTTCTGCATCGGATGTCAGTTTGGAAATACGTTGCTTATTTTGTGCTGTACACTTTAAAATGGCTGTATGTGATTACCTTAAAATGGCTGTGTATTAATCTGAAGTTTCTGTACGATTTGGAATGAAAGTGAAAAAAAAAGCAGTAATTGACTGGTGTATAAATGAAGGTTTACTTAGCAGTCATTATAAGTGTCCTGTTTCTACGAAGGAAATGCGTATGGTCGAACATAAAGATCATTCAGATGGCCTTGCTGCAAAAAATGTGACTGATAATCCAGCACTACGAAGGATATTTTTTACTCTAATTTTTGTGAATTTATGTGGTGATGGCAGTACGCATATTGTAGTTCAAATAATTTTAGGAAGTTTTTGGATGCTGTTAAGGAATTTTGTGTGTCACAAATTTAACACACAGAAATTTCTAAATATGGTAAGTCAATATTTCCATTTTGTAGAACATATATTTCTTTTTTTATGTTATTTCATTGTGTGATTTAAAATGATGTTTATTGAGTTTCCATTGGCTATAAATTTTGTTCAATTTTGGTGATGAGTAACTTTGTTTTAACATTATATGACATCATCATTCTCCTGAATTTTTTAAAGTGAAATAGACAAAAACATGGACAAAGACAAGGGAGTGTGCAATGCCGAGTTTGTGCAATTCTCTGAATTTTTTTATGTGAAAATAGATTGATGTGTACATGGACACTTTGCGAAATTCTTTGACTTGTTATTTTGACTTTGTGTATTGGCCATCTTGAAATTGTAACTTGCTGGCCAATTGCCAAAAATCGCCAAGGGCCACCCTGAAATATATTTTTACCTCAGTAATCTTTAACCATTGATGGGATTCAGATAGCTGAATAAGCTGGCTATATTTGGTTTCCATGTCCTTAACACCATAGCATAGACACAAAATTTATAAAGTCCTTAATGAAGACATTTTCCCCTTCAAACTACTTTAATGTATTTTCCTATTAACTAATCAACCAGTCATGATTAATATAATATTAGTTATAAATGTATTTAAATGTTTATTGGGCCACAAACACTTTTCAGATTGTTTCATGGGGAAATTACCCTAAAGATTAGATTAAGTCCTTCAGATGCAATTTATGAAAAAAACAAGTACCAAAAGTATAATCCTAATGTTTTACTTTTTACTAGGCCTCTTCAGTAATTTTACTTCCAGTCTTGTTCCAAATTTTTCATGTGGTTCCCCAAGCTCATAGCTCATTTTATTCATAGTATTCTTGTTCCTTACACAATGTATGACAAGATCCTTAGTATCCAATACCTGGAAGAAGAAAATGCAGACTTTGAGATTAAATTATTGCAAATTATCTAGTTTATAATATAACTAATTAAGAAATGTGTTATAGGAATTTAACAATAGATTATTTCCAACCATAGATTAATGAAAGTACTAAAGTATGCAATAGTGAGATAAAAGTTTTCCATTATATGAATATATGGAGTCGTCATATACAGAGTTGGATTTAATATTAAGCAAAATAAGCATGTGCTTACGGCATCAGAGAAAAGGAGCATTATAAAAGGAATTCAGGAGTATGGGTACCATAAAAATTTTCCAATGCTGAATTTATGATGGAATATATGGTGAGGGTAAGACAGATAGAGAAGGAATGGGGTAAAGCAAAAATAAACAAATAGGATGAAATTGGGGCATCAAAGTCATTTAAATGCTTAGGGCCTCTAAAAGTCTTAACCTGACCCAGGTCATATAGCATACGAATCATATTTTAGATCCTTTAATTTATGCATTTTGTTTTTTTATTTAAATCTGATAAAACTCCTATGATACTCAACGTTCGCTTCACCTTCTTCTCACCTCAGAATTGATATATTATCTTCAGTATGTGCCTACCAGTAATGATAAAACAATTAAAAACTGATAGTTTCATCCTGAGTTTAATTATTAACTGACCGAGATAGCTGCATCAATGTTTTTAAATATATTCCATGAATGTGCAAAATATATTAGTTTTGTTGACAAGGTTATTTTATTCCAACTTTGTATATTACAACATAATCAATAACTACTTTATTTAAGTTTTAAATGTTAATACATTTTATGCATAATACAAATAAGATGACAGATTGGTAATTTTTGTTTGTGCACACTCCTTTCCTTACACTATTTTAAATTAATTCAAATGAATTTAATTTAGCAATCACTCATTTTAAAATGAAAGGCCATGCAATTTATAAAGAATCACATTATTATCAGGATAGACAATGACATCAATAGTCAATACACCATCTTGATATGTTTTGATGATGCTTGTTATCATAATTCACATGAACGTAAGATACTTTTAAACTCACTTTGAAAAACGGAAAAAAAAAAAGTTTCGCTAGTGTATTCTTAGTTAAATAAAGACTCTTTAATTCCTAATACCTGCAAAAATTCCATAATTATTAAAAGAAATGTTCGGTGTTGAAATTTCTGTATTGCTCTTGGCTTATTACGGTTACGTACTTTTAATATTTCGCAATTAGCGTAGAATCTTATTTAATATTATTCTATTTTATGACAGGATGGAGAAACAATAACAATTTACAGAAGAAAATGTTAAATTACTACTCACGAGATCAGATTTGTTATCTTTCCTTTCAACATATAAGTCTACATAGCCCTTTAATATATGTTTACTGAAATCAACTTCTAAGTTTAAATTTATATCAGTTACGATACATTGCTCGGGATTAGAATAGGAATTAGGATCAACATCACTCATTTTATCTCCCATATTTGAATTGGCGTTCTAATATTCGTTAATTTCAATGAGTTATACAATTTTAAATAGGAAACTTAGACTAGAAGAAATTTAAAATACTGTAGCAATCTTGCTTTTGAGCAAGAAGAAAGGATAACACGACATACTGTGTAATACGGTTACTATACTTATATTGAGAAAATGAAAACATTTACACAATTATAATAAATTATTTAGTTTATTTTTAAAATAATCACAAGAATAAATACTGTATTTAACTAAGCATACAACGGAATAATATTTTAAATGTTCTATTTTATTTTTAATCTGATTCTTTGCTTGAAAACTAAATCTTTGCTAGAGTTCAGCCTCTAACTTAATCAGGGAATTTAACTTTAGCTGTATAATACTTGTCACGTCTTGCTGGATTGGCCAATGACTGAAGACCACGTTTATCTGTTATCACACGTCAGTGTTGTGCATTCAAAAGTCGTTCAGCCGGCATCGCGGCGTGAATCGTGCGTGCTCATCGAGGGCATTTAACTCAGTGTGAAAATGCGGTGGGTATATGCTTTAATTTTAGGAGTTATTCTGTTTTCTAGTACTTGCCTTGCTGAAGAAGGAGATGAACCTACGGTTGATCCAGATATTGGTAGCAGTCGAGAAGGTTCCAGGACCGACGATGAAGTTGTACAAAGGGAGGAGGAGGCTATCAAAATTGATGGACTTAACGTAGCCCAAATTAAAGAATTGAGAGAAAAGGCTGAAAAATTTACATTCCAAGCGGAGGTAAATCGTATGATGAAACTAATTATAAATTCCCTATACCGTAATAAGGAAATTTTCCTGCGAGAACTTATTTCTAATGCATCTGATGCTCTCGACAAAATTCGAGTGATTTCCCTTACAGACAGAGCTGCACTTTCAGCAACAGAAGATCTTTCCATCCGAATTAAAAGTGATAAAGAAAATAATGTGCTCCATGTTACAGATACTGGTATTGGTATGACAAAAGAAGAGCTTATTAATAACTTGGGAACTATAGCTAAATCTGGCACATCCGATTTCCTTCAGAAGGTTGCTGAAACTCAGAGTGCTGCAGAGTTAAGTGACATGATAGGACAATTTGGTGTAGGCTTCTATTCATCATTTTTAGTTGCAGACCGAGTTGTCGTTACAAGCAAGCACAACGACGATAAACAGTACATCTGGGAATCTGATGCTAATTCCTTCAATATAATCGAAGATCCTAGAGGTGATACTTTATTACGTGGTACTACTGTCAGTTTGTATCTGAAAGAAGAAGCTAGAGATTTCCTCGAAGAAGACACCCTCCGAAATTTGATCAAAAAGTACAGTCAGTTTATTAATTTTCCCATTTATTTGTGGGCTAGCAAAACAGAAACTGTAGAAGAACCTATCGAAGAAGAGGAAGAAGCAGAAAAACCTGAAGCAGCTGCTGATGAAGATGAAGATGCGAAAATTGAGGAAGAAAAGGAAGACAAGCCTAAAACGAAAAAAGTAGAAAAAACTGTCTGGGACTGGGAATTGATTAATGCATCGAAACCAATTTGGACAAGAAAACCAGCAGACATAACTGATGATGAATATAATGAATTTTATAAATCAATAACTAAAGATTCTTTGAATCCTTTAGCAAAAACTCATTTCATTGCAGAAGGAGAAGTTACCTTTAAATCATTATTATTTATCCCAAGTGTTCAGCCATCGGAGTCTTTTAACAGATACGGCTCTAAAGTGGATCACATTAAGCTCTATGTTCGCCGAGTCTTTATAACAGACGACTTCCAAGACATGATGCCAAACTACTTAAGTTTTGTCAAAGGTGTTGTGGATTCTGACGATTTACCTTTGAATGTGTCTCGAGAAACCTTGCAGCAGCACAAACTTTTGAAAGTGATAAAAAAGAAATTGGTCAGAAAAACCTTGGACATGATTAAAAAGATACCTAAAGAAGATTATGAAAAATTCTGGAAGGAATACAGTACTAATATCAAGCTTGGTGTTATTGAAGATCCTAGTAACAGAACGAGATTAGCCAAATTGGTCAGATTCCTTTCTTCTCATGATACAAAGAATTATACATCATTATCAGAGTATGTGGAGAGAATGAAAGAGAAACAAGAACATATATATTATATGGCTGGTGCATCTCTAGATGAAGTGGAAAAGTCTCCATTTGTTGAACGTCTTTTAAAGAAAGGGTATGAAGTTTTATATCTTACTGAGCCAGTTGATGAATATGCTATCTCAGCTTTACCAGAATTTGAAGGCAAAAAATTCCAAAATGTTGCTAAAGATGGATTACGATTAGATGAGGGAGAAAAAGCTAAAGAATTACAAGAAACTCTGAATAAGGAATATGAACCTTTAATAAAGTGGCTTGAAGATGATGCTCTTAAAGACAAAATTACAAAAGCTACAGTGTCTCAACGTTTACATTCTTCTCCTTGTGCATTAGTTGCCAGCCAGTTTGGTTGGACTGGTAATATGGAAAGATTAGCCAGAAGTAATGCTCACAGCAAATTACAAGATACAACACGTGAGTATTACTTGAGTCAGAAGAAGACTCTAGAAATTAATCCAAGACATCCTCTGATGAAAGAACTTCTGCGAAGGATCCAGTCGGATAAATCGGATGCAACTGCCCGTAACATGGCAAATATAATGTTTGAAACGGCAACTCTGAGGTCTGGTTTCATGTTGCAAGATACATCTAGTTTTGCGCAAAGAGTCGAAGTTCTTTTGCGTAAGACGCTAGGTGTACCTGAAGATGCCCAAGTGGAAGAAGAACCAGAACTGTCCGAAGATGTTGAAGACGATCAGAGAACTGATGGTGCTGATGATCAGGATGATGAAGACCAAGACCACGAAGAACATGACGAACTATGAAATTGAAATTTAGTCATTATGTAATATATAGCTGACTTTATTACAATTTGGGAAATGAACCGAGGTGATCATCATTTTTTCCATTAGGTCACGTTATTTTCAAATATTTGTATGGACTAGTTCAAATCATTGTGCACTTCTACTTGTGTTTTCTCCATTTTGTAAGAATATCATCATTTGGATACAGACAATATTTATACTGTTGAGTCTTGCCATGTAAGTTTTGTTTGTTACATTTTAAAAGATATAAAATAAAATGCAATAAATTCTTAATTATTGTCTTTAAAAGTATTTGTAATTAATGATTTCTAATGTCTTACAATTGTGGTAAGGAGAAGGAAGAAAAATGAATACTTAAACTTTTTTAAAATGTAATTTTAATTATTTTCTTTAGTATGTAAGGAATTGTGCAAATTACTTAATATTGTATGAGATGTCTAAGTGTTTTTAGAAAAATTGCTTTTTGTAGTTTAAAATTAATTTTGCATATTTTTCTTTAAAATAGAAATTGCTTATTTCATAATCTTTTCAAGTTATTAAATGTAAGTAGTAAAATATTAGATTTATGTTGAATTATAGCATTTTAATTGTAAATCATATTTTCCAACATTTTATATCTTTAATGGTTGTGATATTTATTAGTTATGTAGCAAGTTTGGGGAAGCAAAATTTGGATATTAAATATCTAAACTAATGGGGCTAATTTAAATCTTCAGTTTCTAGTAGTTACTTAAAATTCATTTATGCAATATTTATAACATTAAAAAAAAAAACCCACTTTGTTATATGCTTAATTAAGATGTTTTAAGAATAACTTAAATCTAACATCTTTGGAAAAAATATTGTGCTGAAATTTCTAATGTATGAACTCTACAATAAAGCAGTTGCATTTTGTAATTTTTGTTCGCAATTTTAAATTGAACTCCATTTTTTTTTTTTTTTTTTTTTTTTAATTTTAAACTGGAATATAATTTAAGTGTATTCTGAATTGTCAATATCTGGTCTTAACTTTGCATTTAAAATGCTTCCATATATATTTTTGTTACGCAGTTTATGTGTATTGCATAAGTTTAGCCCTATTTTGAAGTTATCTATTCATGAAGAAACAATTCATTTACTATTTTAGCACTAATCTTGCATGTTAAAACCTAGATAACTTCAAATTTTACAGCAGTTGAATTAAATAAGAAACTTATTTAAAAATACACTGTTGGTGAGCATAAAGTAACATTATAGCACACCAGCTAGCTCTAAACATAGGCAGCTATTTTGGGCACCGATATTCCAAGAGTGCTATTTTTCTCATAAGCAACAACCGAAAATGCATTTAGTTTTGAAATGCCAATATATTTAATTATACAGAAAATTCTGGAGCCAGCTTTGTGTGGTATTAGATATTATACTGGTAAGAAATATAAATGATGATAAACATTAAACTATTAAATGCAAAGTATGTATGTTACTTTGTAAAGTATTTTTAAATATAGATATTACTTTCATACCACATTTTTGTATCATATGGAAAGGAAACATTTCGGTGTGAAATTTGGTAAAATTCAACCATATGTTGATAATTCGGGAAACTGTTTTTTAAAGGGTTATTCATGTTTTTCTAATATTAATGTTTATAGTTTTTCTGCAAAATCTGTGTGAATTTAAGGCTGAATAACTGTCCAGCGTTTTTAATTCAGCAGTCGGTGTTTCAAGCCTCTTGGTCTTATATTCAACATTTAGAAATTTGTATATAAATTAGTTCAAAATCACAAATTTTGATATGCATACAGTGACTTATTTTAGCAGACATATTTTTATAGCAAATACTAATCTGAAATTATTTTTGTTGAAAGATTAAGTAAAGTTTTCATTGGGGGGGGGGTACCTGAACAGTAAATAATTGGGCAATTATTCCCATTTCATTTTCCATCTTATTAGCAATTCAACAGATGGAATATTGAAAGAACCTTTGGTAAAATCCTAGTATACGTTGCATCCTTGGTGCGACTTTGAACTTATCGCCATCACCAAAAATGATCCAAAGAATGTCTCTCTATATATACATACTATACACTGTAAGCAAAAGAACGTCTATATATACTATACACTGTAAGCAAAGATGATAGTTTTAATTTTAAATTCATGTTTTTTCTAGTTTACGTATTAATGTACACAATTTGGCAGTTTGATTTTTTTGGTAAATATTGTCAGTAATATTGTAATAAATGATGCACTTCAGCAATTTAAAATATAAATTTTAATTATAAAATGATATATTAAAAAATAAAACATTCCATGCAAATTTTTTTTTGCTCTTACCCATGTAAGTATCTTTTTGCTTCAAAAGTTTCACAAAATTGTACAAACTTGGCCTGATACACTGGTTATCTGCCAAATGCATCTCGTCACCTTTAGAGATTGTAGCAAAATGCTGTATTCCTGCAGTTACTTACCTTGCTCACATATTCCACAAATGTATATTTTAAATTTTGAATTTAAGGTATCATAAAAAGTATTTTTACTGAATGATTGCATGAAGAATAGCTATACATATATACTAGTTGGTTACTTTGAAAAGGTGGTTGTGATATGTGCAATATATGATCAGACCAATTTGATATGAAAATACACTATTTAAAGTATGTTGGATAGATTAGATCAAACATCGAAAAATATAATCACGGACAGCATATTCATTTAATTTTAGTTTCTTTCAAACTTACTAGCAGTACAAAATGGCTACAATGAAACAGTGGAAAACATTTTCATGTCTTAACCTTTCAGAGCTTCAGCTTAATTAAGTTAACATATCGTGTAAGCAAATGACTTTGTGTTGAAAGCAACAGTGTAGTGTATGTTTATAAGTAACTAAGATGTTTTACAAGACAGGTGCTATCGATATATCAAATTAGTTTTGTAGATTCATGATGTTGCATCTCTGTCCCAGATAGAACACATGTTCAAATTTTGCATCATGATAATATCCAAGCACATTGGCATAGACATGTATGATTTTCTTACTAATAACTTCCACAATATTGGATTGGCTATGCTGATTTGAATGTTATATCATTGCTTTACATGATCACCACTTTGCTGTTAATCTTTGATCATACAGTCTGCAACCTTAGTTTTTCATTTGCAGAGTACATAGTTTTCATTTTTGTACTTGACAGTAATCGATAAATGTGATCAGCGTCTGATGATATAGATGTAGTAAATACTAAAGTGAGGTCTAGCTGTTTGCTATATCACAAAGGATGCTTGTATTAAACAACTATGAATGCCAATAGAAATTTGACTGAATAATTATGAGAATTCAAATGGTTGAAAGTGTGTAGATGGTGTTTTAGGAAGGAAGCTCATCATGAATGGTATTAAATCCATCACCTTTTATGGACTAACTTTGCAATATTACAGAAAGATTCACATGGAAAATAGCACCATTTCAAAGTTAGTAAATAATTATGAGTTATTCAAAAATACCACTTGGAATCTTACAATGCCACAGTTAGCCTTTTTCATTGTATTGTATTTCATTTGGCTATCTTTTCAAACTGTATGAATGAGTATATGTCTTTAAATTTTTAACTGATCCTTGTCAGTTACCTCATATTGTTTATCCAAACATTAAACAGAAGGGCTAGCTCATTCCTGTGTCACAATCCTCGCATGCCGCATTAACATGACATCGCTATGTTGCATCTGCTCCAACTTTACCTGTTTAAAACTAGCAATGCAGACATTTGAAATTTTAATCACATAGGTTGTTTTCTAGTAAAGCAGTGTCAAACTTGTGGCCCATTGGCTGCATGTGTTAAATATAATTTTATGTTGCCTGTGAATGCATTTCCTATAAATTAGCATTATTATGACAAGAATTTGAAGAAAATGTACTGTTCTGTTGTCAAGACTGGATCCAGAAATATGTTATATACAAATATGTTCATTAATTTCTGAATTTGATCTCAATAACAGTACATTATTTTGCATTCATTTTGGCTGCTCTGTGAACTACAGGCTATTGAGAATATAGTTCATGCTGTGTTAGGAACACTCTTTTAACTGTAATATAAATATTTATGAATTATCTAGATCAAAGCTATCATTAAAGAAAAAGATTACAGAAAGAGACATGTTGTTTAGCTAAGCAATGCAGTTTATACTGAAAGAACATAAAACATAAAATGGCAATTTGCCAGGCCATGTCATAGTTGCCTACCTTAAAAACTGGGAAGTTTTAATGTTAAGCAATGACTGTTTCAAATTAACTCCAACCTGACTTTAATTCACTTCATAATGGTTATTGAAAAATTTGTAATACGATTCTGATGTAAAATATATTATATATTTTAAAGTTGATGTTCTTATGATAATTTCATTTGCACTGAAAAAATCTGAAATAGTAAAACTTTAATTATCAAAGCACTTTTAAATATGAAATTAATGCATATATTTGTAGGATAAACAATGTATCAATCTAGTAAAATATTATTTGAATCTTTATATAAAAATCTATTAATATTTATAATGGACTAAGATGGCAGAGATCAAATGAAATTTAACAAGTTCAATAAAGGTACAATTCAGATTAAATAAAATTTGATAAAAATTATTTTGAAAACTAGACGCCTGGAAATACAATTAACCTAATATAAAGTACTCTAAACAAATTTCATTCATTACTAAAAAAATTTCCCTTAATAAAGGCTAAAAATAAAAACCAGGAGAGTTGGCAGCTATGTGATTAAATGTAAAATTTTATGCATCGTTAATGTTACCTAGGTAGCACAACTTAACCCCTTAACTGCCGCGGGCGTATATATACGCCTTGTTCAGCCGATGCGTTAACTTTGCGAATAATTATAGGTGTAGCAGTGCAAATCAAATGATAGCAGTTTGGAAGGACGTATATATACGCCTGGGGCAGCTAACGCATCGGCTGAGCAAGGCGTATATATACGCCCGCGGCAGTTAAAGGGTTAATGCAATGGTGACAGAAAATATGAAGATCATATGGCAGTTGAATGATGATAGTGAGCAATCTATGAGCGAGGCAAGTCTAGTAACCATAACAAATGGTTAAACTGGTATTCTTATTAGCAATTGCCAGATCAATTCTTATGCTCAATAATACTTTGCTCAAGTCCTTGTTAAAATTAGCCAGTCACATGTCATTAAAGGATGCTATAAGAAACAGTTGGGAGAGAGAGAAAAAGGGGCTTGCTACAGCATTCTGTGGATTACTGCAAATCAAGATGGGATTTTCTGTTTTCGTGACATAAGACCAAAACTGATTAAAAATTCAAAACCAATTCACTTAGATTTAATCTCAAAGTTTATACTGAATAATAAAAAAAAAAACCAGGATGCTTCAGAAAAATTTATACACATTTTGAACTGTCACAGAAAATTTAATTTCCCACCTAAAAGGCTGAAGTCCAATTTGAAAAATGTTTTTTCTGCTCAAACTGAATGTTCCAGATGGTGGCCTTCAGCATCAATACATTTCTAAGTACGAGTATAGACTGATTTCATACTTCACCAAAGTATCCAAACACACATGGTACACATCTTTTACAGTGCCCAAGAGAAATAATCAAGCAGTCTAAGGTCTGTAGAGTGTGCAAGAAACTCAAATGGTCTCCCGTGTCATACACTGGCGTGGTAAATTTTGATTGAGGTATGTCCGCATATCCCTATGACTTGTCCGTTTCACCAGCTGTGGAACGTACACACGCAACTTGCCTTTCTTCATAATGCGTTACACATTACTCTCATGTGAGCCTTGCCTTGAAGGTGTTTTTTTTTGGGGAGGTGAACGATGGAAGAGTTTCAGCACTATAACTGAGGATTCTTCACTTGTAGCCATGCAAGGTCGCCCTGATCGCCTTTATGTGCACGTATGTAATTGTTAACCTCAAAGGGAGATAAGTCCCACACTTACATATACACTCCTTGTGAATCAAAGTGACATTTTCAAACTTCCAGTGCCACTTAATAACTTGTTTCTGCTCTTGAAAGCTCAAATGCAAGTCCTTCATGCAATGTTACTCTCTTGGCACTAACTGGGTTGCACAGCTAAATTGATGATTCTGCTGCCACATGTTGAGGAACCATAACAATCCTGTTTCTTCGAAACTTGTTGGTAGGAAAATAAATTTTCTGTGACAGTTCAAAGTGTGTATACGTTTTCTTGAGATGCATCCTATATTTATGGAACAACTGATTAAAACTCGAATTTTTTTAAATAAGCACAAAAAACATTCAAATCACTAACATTAACAATAAAAAAAAATGCATAACATTCAAACAGGAAAGAAAAAATAATTGGGTAAACAATCTTGCTTGGTTAAAATACAGACAACAAACACTACTCATTTTTCAATCCTACAAACTCAGCAAGGTTCAAAGCAGAATCAATGAGCAGTCGAGTAAATGAGATATTAAGCAAAGAAAGACTAAGTGTGCACAGAAAAATTGTGACAAACTGAAACATATGAAAATTTTAACCTATCTGGACTTTTTGTTGAAGGTAAGTTTTAATCTGATGCTGTTAATATTCTTGACAAACAAAATTTATTACAATGGAAAATTTTTTTTTGACATGGGAACATTTTCTGAGCTTTTAAACTGACTACTATCATAGAAATGCCAATTTTCTGATCAATTTAGTTACAAAGAACGCTATTATGTGTTACTTAAAGCTGTCTCCAAACCTGTCCTTTAAGGACATTGACTGGGATAATGAAAATGCCAAAATTAGAGATCTGATTACTTTTATGCAAGAACAAATATCACATGAACTCTTGAAATTTCAAAACTGTTGTAAAATGGATTGTAAGTTAATGACAAAATGTATGCCTTCATTAAAATTTACTTATTTGAAGCTATAAGAAGTTTACTTCTCTTTTGAAGAAATAAACTTTTATAAAACAGTTATCCACTGAAATCCTTATATTATAAATAATTAAATTTATTTCTTGCATTTCATCCAGGAAGAACTGCAGAAGCTCTTTAAAATAAAAACAAAACAAAGCAACACACATTTTTTTCCTTTATTTTATTTTGAACTTATTATACATTTTTTAAGATTTTCTTATCTGGCTGGCAATTCTGTCCAGATCCCTTCTTCCTTGGCTAGATAACTTCCGACCTCTTAAAAAAAAATAATTGCAATTTAATGCTTCAACACATACTACATTATATGTGAAAATTTCAAAATCATACAACAAGTTTAAGGCATGCAAAGATTTAAAATATAAAATGCTTATTTTTGTTTACAGCTATTTGCAGTCACCAAAAAAACATTTGACTGTTGAATAAAGGGAAGTAAATGTCCCTTTCTTTATGAGAACAGTCTCAGTTGCTTGCAAGTCAGTAATCAACTATTTCCATATGCATTCGTACATATTCATATAAGGATTTGTTTTCTTATTTCCTAATAAAGCTAAATATATATTAAAAAATTATACCAACAATATTAATTACAAAAGCAAAAACGTTCATTATTGAACATCATTATGTTCAAAGCATGCAAATTAGATAAACAGGTGACCTCTTAAAGAAAATCAAGTTATTACCTTAAAAATACTACAGTCAAAAGTCGTTAATCTGGAAAGATCTATAATACGGACCTCAAAGCTACAAATTTTCTGCACATGCGTAACGCGCATAGGCATTTTACGCATGCGCGTTTAATGTATAACGAACTGTACAAGCTAAGCTAAAATTATCTATTTCAATTAATGTTGCAAATTGTGTTGTTTTTTAATCTTCGAATTGGATCCGGCTTATTACTTTTTGCAGACTGTTAAAGCAATTTTATAAAAGTAAGCTTGAACTTTTGATTATGTCAAATAGAATTTCCGATGCTGGAGCTGCCAAAGCGAAAGTATGTTTCAATGTCCATCAAACAAAAAGTGGAATTGCTGCAAAAAATGGATAAAGGCATATCCTTTGTTTCTCTAACCATTCCGAAAATTGTTTATCAATTTCACGCAGCGCGCTATGAACTGGAAGTTGATTTGTCAGCGCTATCCTTATCTTCAGGGCAGATGTTTTAAATCTTATTCAGCTTATAATTCCTTACTAAATGTAGTATTTCATCTCGATGTATTCTGTCTTTGATATGATTTAAATTAAATTCCTCATCATTATAAATATCACGAGTACACATCAAATAGTTTTCTGGCTACTATTTTCTAATTTCGACTATGCGTAATGTATGCTTTACGCATGCACACGTTGAAAGAAATGTTTAATAAAGTAAACAAATAAATATTAAGCCTTTTATTTTTGTAAATTTTGATACCCTTTAGATCATAATTGCTTTTTATTTCATAAATTACAGTTTCATATTTTTAATTTCATAATTTCTGCATGCCATCTTACCAGATTTAAAATGATGATCTATAATCCGGAATCGCCGAACTCCCAACGAATCCGGATTAAAGACTTTTGACTGTATATGTTATTGTCAATATTACAATATTAATAAATCATATAGTATATTTTTTAGAATTATGGAATTTTAGGTATTGACAATATTAAAATGGAAACTGGATAAGAGGCTTTACAGCAGGGCTTTAAAAAATAACAGGTTACCATGTTTACAACTAATGTGAAATTTGTTCCTTTCACTCTCTTTATTTGCATCTTATATGCAATAAAGTTATTTATTTACTCAAACAAAATGAAATCTGACCCCATTCAATAAAATTAGCACCCAGAGTTGGAGGAGGATTAAGAGAGAAGCTGAACCAGAGAAATGTGAGATTCTGAACTAAGATATCATGTCATATTTGTTAATTTAGATCAAACTAGTTTCAAGTTAAGACTTAAAAGCCATGCACATGATCCAACTTATCAAAAAGGTTATAGATGTCACTACTAGCACAAGATAATGTTTTATTCAATAAAAGAAATCTTGATATTTTTAAAGTTACCCTAATAACTGCATATTCTCAAAAATATTTTAATAACTTTTCTTAATTTCAAGTTCAACCTAGTAAACTAAAAATGTGAATTTTATGCTTTTTTAATACAAGACTACTACAAGGTTTTTGTGTTATAAGCCAAGCTCAAAAAATACTTCAAGAGAATAAAAATGTTATTTTAAAATATATTTAATTTTTTCTCTTCCAGTTTTAATAATACTAACAATTTAAAATTATGAATATTACTTGGTTATAGTCTAGAAATTAAACCTTAAATTAACAAAACTTAAAACCTTTTAACTGCCAAGTTATTTTGATGATTTTGCTGCATAAATTGTCAATTTTTTTTTATTTCAAAAATGAAATGTTTGCCTCCCAGTCAAAAAATAAAAAAAAATAAATAAAAAAAACGCACACTTTGAGTTTTTTATCCTTTGAAACCTTCAGTAACATGCTGCCATCTGTTGAACTGAAGCCAAAATAAATTCTCACGATATATATACGAGTATAACAATACGATGCACTAAAAAAAAAAAATTAGCCTGAGCAATATTCGGACGTGACATTTTGGAATACCAGTGGTGTGGATAGTTCACCCAATTAAAGAACTCTGTTCTGTCAAATGCAGTACTTTCACTGGGTATCCAACTATTTGTAGCTTAAGAAAAATTAAGCTTAAGTTCTAGTCAACAGGATGCTATGAAAATTTGTTTTTGACAGTAGTTTCAGTTACTTAAAAATAATAGTCTCCAAACCGTTCCCTCGGAACCCTAGGATTCCACGAATCAAAATAAAAAATGTTAAAGAAAATTATAAAGCACATCAGTTGACTAGTGTTTATTAACCATAAATCCATGCGAATAATACAATATATTAGAGGACTTGCCAATGAAAGAAACAGAACAACTCACTGACATAAACAGATTTAACATTAAAATCTAAATTTAAGAAAAAGACTTTCTTAAATTCTTATCTGCAGATTCCTGCAAAATACCTGGAAGTTTTTCTCACAACTACAAGCATTCTAATGCCACTCAGAAAAGGTATTTATTAAAATCTTTCCCAACATACATGGCAACAAAAACATAATACTAAAACATGTAAAGGCAGAAAATAAAATGCAACTACAAACAAGATCAACAGAGCTCGGCAGTTTTTAGAAAAAAGCACACCCTAGCATAAGTTAATGCTATTTATTAATGAGATAATTACATCAATTTTATATTAAAATATTTTAATAAAAATACAGTACTTTTGTTTGTCTTTACATAAATCACCTATAGCATACTGATCTACTTTAAATAAATATTAAAATACATTTTTGTATGGATAAGATGGGGTTTCCACACACACACACACACACAAAAAAAAAAAAAAAAAAAAAAAAAAAAAAAAACTTAAAAGTTCTAAAGATTCCTAGAAGATCACTACTTTTGAATAACACTGCCATATATATATACACACACAAGTTATGTTTTAATGCATAGAGGAAATCCGACACTTCCGGCAATCACAGTGGTTGATGGTGAAGACATGATGATGCAGCTAACACAACTGAGCTTTAAGTATCACAAAATCTTTATTTTCACACATAGCAAATCATTTCTTAATAGACAATATACTTTTTGATTATAGTTAAATACAATAATTTTTATGTATGCAGGTTTTAAAGTACGATGCTATCAAAGATAAGAAAGCATAGCAGCAGAGTTTTTGCAAGGCAGAAGTAATTGCTTGTGAAACAATATTTAGACTAGATAGGTGCATATGCTGCAACTGGTTTGTTTTAGGTCCCCTTTCAAGCAGTGTTAAGTAATTTGGAATAGGTAGGTGCCAGGGCTGTGGAGTCTGTTGGTAAAATGAGACTCCCAACTCCTGGATTTTAAACACTCAGACTCCCTCATATATATGTAAACATATACACATGGGTTACAGCTTATTTTAGTAGAAAAGAAGTAATAGATGCTGCAGGAAAAAAAAAAAAAAAAAAAATTGATGGCATAGCAAATTATTTATATTAGCATTTATTATGAAATGGAAAAACTGGCATTAGTAATTTAAAAGAAATAGTATAGCTTTGGCGAGATGGGTCTTCGTTAGAGGACCATAGATCTGATTTGATAAACTTCAGAGCTGAGAAATCTTTCTACACTGACTTGAGTTAAGAGGACGAGCTGTTACTTGTTACTTCCTTTAAATTTTCAGGATATATTTTTATAAGTTCTAAAAGAGGTGTCTTGCAAGGAGCATTTCCTTAGCCTTTTCAATATTATCCAAATATTTTTCAAATTCTAATTCATCACTGGAAGAGGATGATAAAAGACTCAGTTGCAATGTCTGCAGTTTGACTGTCTTGATTTAAATACTCTAATTGTTCTGGGAATAATTTCATTCTTAATGAAAGATCATAGATGGCTTTCTTAGTCTTTTTAATTTGATAGTCATTCAACAAAATTTGGTGTTTGGGATCTACATATATTGAACTCAGCAAGATCTCATTGTCTAGCAAACTTGTTTCTCTTTTCTTCATTGAAGAAATGATTCCTTCTGCAATAAATTTTCCATTTCAGAAAGAACAAACATCACTTCTTCCACTCTTGCCTTTTGTTAATTTTTCAGATGGTAGCTTTTTTGTGGCTATATACTGTGTAGGAAGAAGAGTTTCCAATTCTGCAAGATCATTCCAGTCTTTCTGTTAGTGAAAGCCCAACCCTTTGGTCTCTTGCGAGCACATTTTCAAAACATCAACAATTTTGTTAAACATATTTCCAATTTTATGTGATATATCTGCAATATTAATTTTGGCAAATGGGTTTGAGATGAATAATAATATTGGTTGAACTTTATGGAAATCAAAGAAGCGGAGTTCAAAATTATTTTTCAATGCATTTAGGTTTTCCGAGTATTTCTCTGTTTCAATTGCCTTGTGGTTATTAATATGGCTTGATAAATTCTGAAAATGGGTGAAATATTTTTCTTTCATCTGATTTATGCAAAAATTTAACTTTATCTGAAAAGCAGTTATAGTCCCAGTCAATTGAAAAAGGGTTTTTTCTTTTCCCTGGAGATCTTCGTTTAGTTTAGCTGTTATATCCGTGAGAAAATGCATATCGGATAACCAATTATTATCGTCCAAAATCTGCTTTATTGGCAAAAGAAGTTCTACAAAATCGTAAGTACTTTTTCCCTGCTCAGCCATCTAACGTCAGAATGAAGCAATAAGATTCCCTGTTTGCTATCAAGTTCATCAGTCAGCAATCAATTATTTTATAAAGTCTTGCAAGATATCTCTTATGACTATAAATGTTTACCATATTTTAACAATTAACAAATAGTAACGAATGGTTATTTTTAAAATATTTTTTGTTCATAGTACCTAATCGGGCTGGCGAGCACAAGGTTGGGCACTGCTGCATTAGGGTCATCTACATCTTCTAAAAAGTTTTTAATTCTAACAACCTCTATATCATGAAATATATACTTCCCCATCGCATTTGCTTGATCAATAATTACTCCTTTTACTAATCGCTTCCTAAGAATGGCATCAATTTTGGGACTTTTTGCTGCTATTACTACTTACCTAAATTTACCACTGAGATTTGTAACTGAATGAGTTTAATCAATAACGGCAAATATCACATCCATCCTCCTCCCCTATATTTATTTATCAATATGTCAATAAATAGAAAAAACTATTTATTAATGTATACAGTCCATAAATAAAAATAACTCTGTCATTAAATATTTTTCAATTGCCATTAATTTTATTTCGAATTCAAACTGTCCAACAGAAGCTGGAGTCGAGGTTGACCTGAGCGACTCTAGCTCAGATTCCTTTTACCGAAAAATCTGCCCAACTCTGATTCTGACTTCACAATACCATGCATATATACAGCTAAACTGCGATTGGTTAATTTTAGGTTTTAGTTCCCTTTTCAAGAAGTATTATGTAATTTGGAAAGATCTTGAATTTGGGAGAAAGGATGAACTTAGAGGGTAGAACATAAAATCTAGAATGGTAAATTTTGAGGTCGCCAATTATTGTCAATTTTGGTAATTTCTAATAACAGGGCACTACTCAGCATCAAACATTAACATTGAATGTGAAATCTTAACTATATGACAGCAACCCTAACAAAATGAAAGAAAACTTGTAATAACAATAATGTATCAGATAATATACATATAATGCTTAATGCGTGCAAATGCCGAATTCACAGAATAACAGCAATCTGGTTTCACTTAAAAAAATCAGAGAACTGAACAAATACAGTAAAACTCACTTCAAACTTTGCCTGGCTATTGACAACAGAGTATGAACAGACTACTTAGCACTCTAGAAATGGTGAAAAGGGTACAGAAAGCAAAACAGGTTAAGAATCACTGTACTACATAAAATTTTACCAACATACTTTTTTTTAATCAGCTAATATATGTTTTTGGTACATGCGTTGCATTTTATTGATTTATGTGTACAGGCAAATTTAGCATGGCAGGTTTCTTTTAAAACAGAAATTAAGATGAAAACTGTTCTATACATTTGCACATCCTTAAGTTAACTGTATTAGCAAATAAAAGGTTTAATATTAGAAGATTACTGTAAAGTTCACTTGTAAAATAAATCAGTAATTACCCAGCAGTATCCTGCTCTACTAATTTCAGATTTTCTAAAGCTTGGAGTACTTTTCTTGCAACACTTGAAGATCCTCTGCAGTATTTTGATGGACGGGTACCTCTTCGGTATCGTCCACCGTAAATTTTGGTAAGGGCTCCTACGCCTGCAGGTGATCGCATATACAAATGTCTGGCAACAGATGCTGGAAAAGAAATTATTTCTTTATGAATCAAATTCATTTGTCATGTTTTAAAAAGAACAGGAGAAAATAATAAAGGCATTATTTTACATTTACTTTGCTTCTTTTCACTTCATGAATTTAACACTCTTAAAAACTACACTTGGAAGTTAAAATGAACTAGAAATGCATACACACATCTTTCAATTCAAAAATTAAGAAAAGTAACATTCAAACTTATTTTCTTCTTTGAGATCACTTATTTACACAATTATTCATTATAATTTCAAAAGAAAAGGTGTAGATGAGTATAAAAGACTGTTTACACTGGGGTTTATCTGAGCCAAGGCAGACATATGACACAACCAACGCTGCTCCAAAACCAGTTTTACTTCGTAGCAGAGTGAGTTGAAAAGTCTAAATTTCAGGTATAATGGAGCTACTTGGCACATAGAACCGACTCAGTTAGTTAGCACAGATAAATCCCGGTGTGAATGGCCAATAACAGCTCCACAAATATCAGATAGCTTTAACATTTTGACACAGTTTAAAAGAATATTATCTAAATATCTCACAATCTAAAATTAATCTCTCGCATTTTAAATCCCTGAACAATGCTACGGTTTACAAGCTAAATAGCAATTTTAAATCCACTAAGTGCCAAGCTGCATGTATATGTTCAAAAATATTAGTCATGTAACTTGAAGTATGTCCAGATAATTAAGTATGTATATTGGAAAAACAGAAATAAAGGTACAAATTAGGGAGTCATCTTGGAATTTATAATTAAGAAAATACCATTTACTCCTAGTTGTTTTGGTGACTAGGGTTTGGGATCAAACCCCTGCCCACTTGCAGAGTTAATAACGGTTTTATTTATCTAGTGGTTAATTTTGTAACTACAGAACTAAGATAACCTTCGATAACCTGCAAGTTAAAATACCAAATCACCCGAAATAGTTGTAGTCACAGCAATTTCCTCTCCTCTGACAATGGAAACATCCTGAATAACTTTGGATGTTAGCTAACAAAACTCTGAATTTCCAAGATATGGAAACACACAAAGGTTTCAAGATTAGTTATTTGAAGTCCGAGTTTATATTACAGTACAAAATATTTAATGCGTATCTCAAAGCTACAAACTTTCGGCGCATGCGCAAACACATAATGCATTTACTCATGCACATTTAATGTATAATGGACGGTATAAGCTAGGCTAAAATTATCTACTTTTCTATTCCAGTTAGTGTTGCAGATCGCGTTGTTCCTTAATCTTCGAATTGGATCCCGCTTATTATTTTTTTGCAGACTGTTAGAGCAATTTTATAAAAAGTAAACTTGAACTTTTGATTATTTAGAAGAGTTTCCGATTCTGGAGCTGCCAAAGGATCACAAAGTGAAAGCATGTTTTGATGTACTGCTTCCGATAGTGAAGAAAATGACAGAGAGGTTATTGAAAACGAAAACATTTCGATTGACAAATTAGTCGGTATTCTCGACACACCAATTAGAGGACTTCAACAGTGGAACTGAACAAGAAATTATGTCTGTTTATAGAATTAAAGAAAAAGCATTAGCACAAAAATTGAAGCAACTTACATTGTTAACAAATAAATATTGTGCTTTATTTTTGTAAGTTTTGATACCCTTTAGATCATAATTGCTGTTTATTTCATAAATTAAGGTTTCATATTATTAATTTTATAATTTCTGCATGCCATCTTACCAGAAAATTGATGATCTATAATCCGGAAAAACCTCTAATCCGGAACTGTCGACGAGTCCGGATTAAGAACTTCGTACTGTACTTTCATTACCATTACAATACAAGATGAAAATAATTTGTTAATTTCTCTCCCAGGTTTATGAACGTTTCAAAATGTTGTCAAAGTAAAGAAGCTTATTTAAATACAAATATATGCATTTTTATGTATGCATCGAAGAAAAATGTAATAAATTGGAGAAAGGCACTGTTGCCACTATTCATCCTCAAATTTTGCCCTACTTAGAAAATTTGCTGGTTAAACTTAGCAGCTTTTTATATTTTTTTACCCCCCACCAGTGGCCGAGTTGTTAAGTAGCAGGTAGCTCAATCTGGTCTGGATTTGATCCTAGGCAAAACGGGCTGGCTGCATGGTTGTTTTCCTCATATATAATATGAATCAGTTTACCTCAGCAAATTATCCAAGAAAGGATCACTTCTTTTAGGCAGAAAGCTCTGGCGACTTTGATTTTGAGACCACTGCCCTAAGAGACATTAACACCGAGTCAGGCCACATTCCCTGGCTGCCATTTTGGTCAGCCTTACATGATCATATAACCTTTCTCAGACGACTGTGTCGACGGGGCGCCAACCCACCGAACAGCCCGCAGAGACTTTTCATGTTCATCGCCACAATCAATCGCTGGGGACTGCGCGGGGAGCCGCCACCCACCCCGACTCAGCGCTTATATCTACATGAGTAGCTCTCCCACAGCGAAGGCAACGGACACAACAGTACCAGTACGGTCCCTGCCAAGCCCGCGCCTACCATAGGATGGATCTATGGTTCTAGTCCTGTGAAGAACGATTATTTACCACGTCGAATCAAAGCTGACAGAATACAGATCCAGTCAGTGGTTTGAAAAAACCCCGGGTCTCCTCCCATAAATGGTTGGTTCCGGAAATTCACACCAGTCGATCCCACGGTATGGTTGCTCAGAGTCATTAGCCTATACGGATCTAGGAGCAGGCCACGGAACCGTATAGTTTCCAGCGGGGCCACGAGGAGGCTGACTGAGCTGTGGGACACGCAAGCAGGCGAACCTTTTGTGAAGCCATTCCCACAGCCCCTGCCCATCGATCAAACGCCGGGTCTCCTGCCTTCCGCCACTGCCTATGACGATCTCCCACACACGGTTCACGCTGCCTACAGTGGTTTCCAGCCGGTTCCGGACATCCGACCCCCCGGGATGTCAAGAAGAGTTTATTCTAATGGATTGATGACAACACATCTTGACTCTGCTCTTCTATTATACACCCTCCTGGCTATGCCTTTGGGTTGTCGGAAAAGTGCAAGGTTTAGCACATATAAGTAAAAATTAGCATAAAGTAACTGTTAACAGGGTTAGTAGCCACATTTTAGTTACAAAAATAACCACATTTTAAGAAAAAAATAAGCACCTGTCTAATTACATCATACACAACTGCATAATAACATTAAAAGAAAAATTAGACTTGTAATTTAAAATATGAGATATTCAGTATTTATTAAGAGAGAATGAGCATTACTCAACCATGGAAAACAATTTTTTAAAAATTTTAAATAACAGTTCAATTTACAGAACTAGTTTACAATGAGAGAAAAAAAAACTATGCAAAACTAAATTATATTACAAGATTTAATGATGATGAAATTTCAGTTCAAAATAGACAAAATAAATAATAAGCCATATTTATTATATTCACTTGGCACCTAAAAATAAATACAATTTACTTTTTCACTTATATTTAAATAATTTAACTTAAATCAAAATTTTGAACATGTTCTAAATTTTCATTGCATAACTATTTTCCCTCAATAGATATTACAAGCAAAGTAATTTAAGTAAAAATCAGTAAAAAAAAAGAAACATTTCTGAAACCAGAAGACAGGAAATTGTTTCATGCAGTCAAACATTTCTGAAACCAGAAGACAGGAAATTGTTTCATGCAGTCATCTTGTAACAATAAAAGCTTAACTAGCCGGCATACTCAGAAATTGCTGAAAATTCTGGATAGTCGAGCATAACTGTAAAAAAGAGGGAGTGGGGTAGATTGCAACCATTCTTTAGATTTCAGCTACATAATGCTTTTGACATTTTGATACGTGCATCATATAGAAATAGCCCAACGGAACTGAAAAATATCTGCTCAGCAAGCACAGTAAAACTCTTTTATCTCGCCAAAACACTGCAAACGTTAGTGCACAATATGTGCGCCTTGATTCTTCCTCACGTGATATTACATGATCGACAGCTGTCGTTATTCGGAGAATAAAATAACTAAATAAAGGGAAAAAATTCCTTCGCTTCTTCTGGTTTTCACCATCATGCGCCCATGTGGCATATTTATCATTGCGCAGGACACGTCGCCCCCGCCATAATATATAATTGATTGAGAAAGAGACCAATCTGGAGGTGTTTTTCATTCTAATTTTGAACCGACTGCATTAAATTTCCAGAACAGAATCATTTTTCACTTGGGTTGGTAGACCTCAGAACATTTAGTCTTGTTGAATCCAGATTGTAAAGTGACAAAAAAAAAAAAAAGTCCCTTGCTTGCTTTGCTGCGAAGTGTAACAGTTCCAATATTAAAGATTTTGCGGAGAAAGGGGAGAACCCCCCCCCTAACTTCCACACTGTATAATGCATTGGCTAAAAAATTTTTTTTTTACTATTCAATTACTTTCACTTTTTATGCCATTCCGAATATTATTCCTTATAAAACTAATCTGTGTTAAAACATACTTACCCATTTTTGAAGTTTATCTATATTTCAGCAAATACATTACAGTCAAAAGTCGTTAATTCAGACATCCATAATCCGCACCTCAAAGCTAAAACCTATCTGCACATGCAGCGTGTTGACGCGTGCACGCAAGACTTTTACGACTTTGCATACGCGTCTGCGCAAGCGCAGAATACGTTTTCGCGTGCGCGTTTAATGTTTAACGGACGGTATAAGCTAAAATGATCTAATTATCTATTTCAGTTAATGTTGATGATTGCGTTGTTCCTTAATCTTCGAATTGGATCCGGCTTATTATTTCTTGCAGACTGTAAGAGCAATTTTATAAAAGTAAGCTTGAACTTTTGATTATGTCAAATAGAATTTCCGATGCTGGAGCTCCCAAAGGATCTAGAAGACGAAAGTATGTTTCGATGTCCATCAAACAAAGAGTGGAATTGCTACAAAAAATGGATAAAGGCATATCATTTGTTTATCTAACCGTTCGGAAATCTGTTTATAACTTATCGGGGGGGGGCACACAATGAACTGGAAGTTGATCTGTCAGCACTATCGTTATCTTCAGGGCAGATGTTTTTATTTTATTCAGCTTATAATTACTTACTAAATGTAGTATTTCATCTCGATGTACTCCGTCTTTGATATGATTTAAAAAAATTCCTCGTCATTATAGATATCACGAATATAAATCAAATAGTTTTCTGGTTGCAATTTTCTAATTTCAGCTATGCGTAATGTATGCTTTACGCATGCGCGCGTTGAAAGAAATGTTTAATAAAGTAAACAAATAAATATTAAGCTTCTTTCTTTGTAAATTTTGATACCCTTTAGATCATAATTGCTCATTATTTTATATATTATGGTTTCATATTTTTAATTTTATAATTTCTGCATGCCATCTTACCAGATTTAAACTGATGATCTATAATCCGGAATCGCCGAAGTCCCGACGAGTCCGGATTAAAGACTTTTGACTGTATTATAAATATTCATACATATGCTCATAATATAAGCCTAATGATCATAATAAACACGAATATGAGTTGACGACGCAGAACAAGAATGTTAATTATTAAAATCTTTGATAGAAATTCAAACGTGCGTTGTACTGGCGGACGCAACATACCGGAATTTTCTACCGCTTTTGCAGTTCTTTACCAATAGAACGATGTGCACCTGCACATCATAGGTTATGTTAATGCAGAGAAAGGGGCGAAAAGCTATTTCTGGGGAGTATGATTCACCATCTGACGTTCCATATAAGGAAGAAAAGTGTTTATTTAGTTTCTACTTTGATATGGGGAAAAATGTGCATTTGTTTAAAAAAACAAAAAGGCACTAAAAGAAACAAAAAAGTGCTTTAGAGAGAAAGTAAGCACCTATACGGGCCCTTATATTTTATTTTATTGAAAGAAATTTCCAATTCTATTATACAAGAATTTGTAAAAACATACATTTATATCTAGCAATACTGAATTTTTCTTCAAATTTTTACTCTGTCCGATTTAGAATGTTTCCCTTTTCTTAGAAACCTGTGCCATTAAGGAAATTGCTGGAGATGTACTACCATAAAAGGATATAACCTTTTTTGCATTTAAATTTTCCACGAATGTATCTTGCCATTATGTCTAACTTCATGCCGAAATAGATATCCGAGTAGCTAATAATCTAAATTTTCTTCGAGACCATTTTTTTGTAATTTTACTTTCAGAGGCCATCTGTTCAATTCTGTAGACAGGGTATATGCATTGGTTGCCAGATTAATGAAATGATTAACAGCCTGATGTAAAAAATACCAATGACCATCTAAAGGCCCATTTACAAATAGCGATTTCCTCGGCCCACTTATCTGGCCGAAAATATCCAAGATGAACCTACTTTCTCATTAGTACAGGAATTCATTCAACCAACCACTATGAAATGAAGTGTTTCCGTCCTCTACAGCATCAGTCTATGATTTGTAAACAAAGCTTACAGTGTTGTCAAAATAATGGACAAGTATTTTACTTTAAATTGCTACTATAGCAACAACTACAATTTTGAACTTAGCTACTGCTACAGAAAGGGGGAGAAAACGTATTTGGACCAGAAATTCATGGTGCGCGCAATACCCTGCTCCAAGAGTTGAGTATTGAAGACACGGTGGAATTCAGAAAGTATTTACGGATGCTGCTCTGTGATTTGATTTTTTGCCAAATTTAGGTTGCAGCAAAATTTTAAAAAATTATGCTTTTCCCTTGTGTATTGAATGCGCATATTACTCCATTTTTTAAATTTCATTTTCTGGCACTCTTATCTTGAAATAATAAAATAGCCACGTTTCAGATAAAATAAGTAATTACTGTGCTTTAAATAAAAACCTTTACTAAATAATTAGACAATAATGCTATGAAAATCAAACCAGCATGAGTAAAAAGTAGTAAAAAGAATTACTACATCAGAAAGCAGCAGTGCAATTTCAAATAAGAAATATCATAAAGGTGCAAAGTCTTCCGGTGGGGGATCAAACCGATGGTCTCGATGTCCGGAGAAACCCTACGCTGCTCTTTACCACTGGGCTATGATGGTTCGCATTTGGGGTTGTCGGAAAAGCTATGTACTTTGTCATGTGATTAATTCCCCTTTTCAGGGAAGTCAATGAGTCTCTGCGCTGCTTTAAATCCGGCCCGTAATTTCTTGACTGGAGATTTTGTTTTTTGAATTTTTCAATAATTTCGACCATAGTTTCAGGTAAATTCTGAATATTTTCGTCTAGTATCCACGACATGGCATCATTAATAGTTTTTGGAACTTTTCTTGGAGTTAAAATAATTTTCACCTCGAATAGAAAATATTTAAATATATAAAGCAATGGGGAAGACAAAGATTACCAAAATAAAAGAATCCCATAATTTTTTATTTTTAAAATTTACATTACTCATGTTCTACAACACAACATTTTCTCTATAGAAATCTATTAGTTGAAAAATTTGAGCTTCGCTTCAACAAAATACAGCCATGTTTATTATTTATTCCAAAACGAGGAGAAAAAGCATGTGATCACTCAAAGCAATTTCACAGGCTAGAGACACTGATTTTATCGTACGCTAGTGAGCAGTGAACACAAGTTCTGAAATCGTGGTAGAGAACATGACCAATTTTTGGCGAATGCGCAGATCCTTAAAATTGCTGCTCTACCAGAAAGTCTGCCAAGAAAATTGCTATGTGTAGATGGGCCTTAATCGGTAAAATCACTAAATTTTAAGAATAAGAGAAAGTCCGAAGAAATACTTCTAAATCGGGTTGGCAAGAGAATGCTCGGAAACCACATATATTGCGTAATGTATGAGTCTTCCATCTAAACTGGCAAACTCTTAATATCAGTAAAATATAAGAAGAAACAATTCAAATGAAATCAAATTTAATAAGAAAAATTATTCTGAAAATCTCTACGGTTTTAAATATACACTAAAAACATGCAGCACTATTTGCAATGATTTTTTAAAAGCAGTTTTATACCTTTGTAAGAATGATTTATAGTGAATTTTGATAATAAAACAAATAATCATACCACATCGAGTGTAAAACCAATCTTCATCGTAAGGTGCAAGCTCTTTGTGCATTCCAGTTTTTACTACATCAACCCACTCTGGAACTTTCAATTTTCCAGACCTAAAAAAGAACATTTTATATGAAAAATATAAGTTATCTTAGATGAAAGATATTAATTCCACAATAAGCAAATGCTTTCAATATTATTAATAAAGAACAAGTTTACAAGGTAAAAAAAAAAAAAAAAAAAAAAAAAAAAAAACACTAAACAATGAGTTATTCTAAAAAAAAAGAAAGATAATTTGGATTTTGTTGGTAAATAGAGAGTGAAATACCGAATAGAGGGAAAAAAAAAACTTGTCTCGTATACAACCAAATTTTCATCTGATTTGGATAATTCTGATGGCGAATTAAAAAGAAAAATGACTATCAAGACTTCACAGATAGCAAACACTTTTACAAACATAAGGCATTATTTTTTGCTGAACTACTGTTCGTAAAAATAATGCCTTATGAAAAACTGAGTTTGCCATTTTAACTTTTCATTACTTCTCCCATACTACCTGTATTAAAAATTACAAGGAAAGTGCAGAATTACTCACTGATAGGCGTGTTTTTAAGAATTGCATAAACTCTGTATCCATGTACACATCGACCTATTTTCACTTAAAAAACCCCAGAATTGCATAAAAAAGGCATCGCACACTCTCGACTTTATCCATGTAGACATAGACCTATTTTCACTTAAAAAGATAAAAAAAAATTGACAAAAATCCAATTTTTCTGACTTGTAAAAAGCGCCAAACAAATAAATGGGCGATTCTGCACTTCGCCCAAAATTACAATAGCTTCATTTACATTCACTGTCTAAAGTATCTCTGAAATACATGACTTAAACAATATAGTGAAATTAACTTTAGGAAACCTGACTTTAATGATGACGATTATGACATTGTATTGTGATAATACACTACAGATCTACAACACGGTAAGAATTAAAAAAGAGAAGTATAAAAGTTAATAATGCTGGAGTTTTATATATATCATAATATAAAATACTAAGATGAAATAAAAAAAAGTATGTAGGTTTACTTAATCACAACAATAACTAATTGTTTACAATTTGTTCTATGTGTATGGTTTACCATCTTAAATGCAAACGCTACACTCATCCTTACGCAGTTTTCGCCCAGCAGAATTTTCCCCTGATATTGGGATGAAGAGCAAATTTTTGGAAAGCTCCTTTTGATACCATTTCCCTCTTGGCGTCAAAATATTCCTCCCGAAGATATGGCGATCTTTCACGATTCAAGATGGCGGAAAGAAATGCGCCAAGTGCTGCTTACCTGAGTTTTCCCCAAAAATAAAAATGTATTAAAAAGTTGGACTCCATAAATCAGAATAAAATTTCCTTACACTACTAGTAGGCTTTACGGCTAATCTTTGGAATATGGTAACAGGTATTTTGGCAACATTTTGGTAAGGCAAATAAAGGTTATTAGCTAGGACTTTAGCAGTGTACATGGATAAAGTCAAGAATGTGTGCAATGCCATTTTTGTGCAATTCTGGAATTTTTTTTCAAGTGAAAATAGGTCGACGTGTACATGGATACCGTGTATGTGCAATTCTTAAAAACGCGGCAAGCAGTTTGCGATTCTCCACTTTCTCCCAATTTCGCACCTAATCTTTGTCATGATTAAGCACTTTTGTTCCATAAAAGTTCTAGCATAAGCGTAATTCGGCTAGTAGATTGTTGGAAAAAAATGTTGAGTAAAAAAAGAAAAAATGCTCTTATTTCGTGAAAACAAAATGGCGTCCAAACAAAACTAGCAGGGTTGGTCGCCAAATTTTCACCAAAAAATTGCCAAGTTACCATAATCCAAAGATTAACTGGCTAAGTGGCATAATTGCAAGGTAAGTGAATCTTAATAACAAGGCTAAAAAGATGAGTAAAGCATTATGATACTTGAACATTAGGATTTTCAAATATTAGATAAATTAATTTAGGAGATTCTTCCATGAAATTTTGTTTGCGTGAAAAACAACTTAATGCTCCACAATCAGGATTTTGCGGTTAAATCTTTGGCGTCACACAGGCTGGGAAGCACTGTTATACGGGTATTATGTGCAGTCATTTAAAGTGTAAGATATCTTTGCGCAAATACTGAGAATACGTTATATAAATCTAACGCAAAGATACTGATTAATTACAATTACTAATGCCTGCTACGACAAAGTTTTCTCAGACGGACCATTGAAATAACAAAAATCCGCATTGCTTGAATCCTTTAAAAATTTCAGTTACACAAGTGTTACATTAAAGAACAATATAAAAATAAATAGATATTGCTTAGATACATATGGTTTACATATATTAAAATCAATGCTCTAGAAAACTGCCAATTGCAGTACATAATAAATAACGAAGTTGAGAATACTTACTTTTTTAAATGAGCAGCAAGAGCTTTCACAAACTCATGTTGGTTTACGTCTTTAACGCTAGTGCAAGGCATCTGAAATTAAAAATACTATTTAAATGCTTATATTACTACATTTTCATGTTAATAATAACTACCAGTTCAGTTCAGGAATTCAGCTTTAATCCTGTAATGTGTCCAGTATAGTTATTTGAATTACAGATTAGTATGATAAGGTACTTCTTTGTCCATATTATAAAAGAATTAAAACTTACTTTGGACTAGGGAAAAAACACGCCAATATCACTGCTAGGAATTAAGAGATTTCGCCACGCGTTTCCGCTAAGCCTGAACTCCAGTCAATTCCAGATTAAATGAGTTGAGTGGAAGTGCGAAATTCTCAGCTCAGAAAAAACGTTGAGGTCGCTAGGTGACATTTCGCCGCGATTTTCCGGCCAAATAAAGCCTACAAAACAACTTGGAAACAGATTTATCTATTATTTATATACAAATTCATGATTAGCATTTTTATAAAACTCTCAAGTTTTCTATAAATTAAATACAGAGGTATATTGCAAACATCGAGAGGAATTCCTATTGATATCCTCCCTAGATCAAGTTGTATTTCAGAAATGGATATAGCAATTGCATAAAAAGTATACTATTTAGTCTTAAATTTTAATCTCACGCGTCTTTAAATAAGCAGTATATCTTTTTTAATACTTGTTTTCTTCTACAGCGCTGTTATCAGGAAAATATAACAATATCACTGTTTCTGAAATGTTGTATTGCAATGCACGTAGCTTGAAGATATGAGCTCTAGCATGGACCTTTAAAATTTCCAACCTCTTTTATATTTTAACTGAATTTCGAAATTTTTTCTGGTATATTTGCTTCAGATATAGTGGCTATATATCTATCTGAAGTTCATTAAGAGCTCTTGTTGAAAAGAGTAATGAGACAAGAAATTACGAAGCCACTTGAGTGATACAAGTACCTATGCTAGTCGGAATGGAGGTTTCAACAGTTTATATTTTCAAATAATTTAATTTTGCAATCCCATCCTAAATGCTGTTACAAAGCCCAGCCATGCGTTTTCACTGCGAATAAATTTAAAACCTGTCTCCTAGCAACGGGGTTTGCTTGCATCGTAACGTTTCTTTACGCTTTAAGCTCTTTGTGTTTTGTAAAAACTGTGTACTCGAATTTATTTAGTATGGTATCAGTCGACAGTGATAATATTGATTTTAGTGTTTTGATAAAAAATTTAGATACCGCAATAGAATCCGACAGAATTTATTCATTGAGAAACGCTGCAAAAATTCGTGCTGTGAATCAGTCAGGTACGACTTATGAGGACTTTGAAAATATTGTAAAAGGAGCTACTCTTAAACCTTTAGATAAAAGTGACAAATTGTATTGTAACCCAAGGCACACGTGGAATCCTATAGCCCAAAAAATGCAAGAAGAAGCCATTGATAAAATACTTCAGAATGGAGCATTATAAAAAACCAGAGTTAAACGAAGCTTCATTAGATTAAATGGTTATTCATATGCATAGAACTTTGGTTACTTAAATGCGTATGCAAAATTAGTTTTGAAGTTAAAAACTAGCGAAGAAAATAATTACTTCTGTTGAGATTAAATACTGAAACTTTTTTTTGTACATGTTAATTCATTTTGAAAACTATGCACCATCTCAGTTTTCATTTATCTGATATTCTGTCATCCATAACTGAATAAATAAATGTTATTAAAAATATTATTCTCACGGAATCTGCTGAAATACCATTTGATAATTATTATTAAAATTGAAGTTTTTAAAACTTAACAATTCCTTTCTCCATTTTTGAGAGATTAATGTTCTTCATACTTCACTTGTGGATTTTCATTAATTTGAATTTGATGGCTAAGCAGTAAACTAATTAATATGTACACATTTTTTCCGCTAAAATTTTTATCTGTCTACACAAATGTTGGAGAATCATGTTGTAATAAAGACACAGTATTATATTAACTAAGTAAGACATTCATTTAAAATTTGACATTATTTATGAGCATCTTAAGATACATAAAAATTTATCATAAAATCATTCAGACTATCAGTCATAGCAGTGTATTAAAATCACTATTGTAAATTGATAAAAATATTGATGAATAAGCATCTGTTATTTTTTTTAATGTATGTTATGCAGATGGTCATTTGCTAAATGAGCATCTACATAATATATGCTATACTTCAAAATATCTCATAATGTTCTGAGTGTTGGTAATTGTTACAAATATGCTTTGTTATTTTATTTTCAAACAGAAAAATTAGAACTTTCCCATTCATAGAACCATTAATGAAAAGTATGAGAATGTTATGTCAAATACTTTCCATAGTAACTTCTGTTTTCAGTTCTTTTGCTGAGGCTTATTTATTGTACGATGTGTGTAAAAAATATTAAAAATTGCATTTGTTTCATATTATTTTTCAGTTATCAGTTTTACAACATTTATATAATATTATCTGCGTAACATTTACATCCCAATATTCAAATTTCAATAAAGTTGTACTCAGTAAATTTAACTTTACAAACCTACATATTCAAAATATGTATAAGTTGTACTCATATAATTAAATGTTTGAATCGTTTACACTGGATCACTCAAAATGTTTTAAGTGATTTTTTTTTAAATACATATATATTTTAAATTTGTTAATGTACATAACAAAGTTTTTTTTTTATCTGTCTGAAGTGCCCATATTGTCAGCCAAACTCAGAACTGTTCAATTGTCCATAATATTGGAAATCTTTGTTTTAAATAGCTTTCTGAGATGTTTCCTTTTGATTGATACAGCATCTGACGAATATTTGTGTTATCAATGAATAATTAATATATAATTATTTAATTAATTCCCAGTTTAAATGCTTGAGCCTCCATTCTCAAATTTAGCATAGTATACTCTTTTTTAATAATGGTGTTTCCATGTCACCTTTCTGTTATCGGGGGAAGGGGAGGAACCGGATTCAGAAATGTATGCATGTATGTACATATGTTTGTGTACACACACGCATATTTCTGAATCCAGTCCCAATAATAGAAAGTTCTCTTTCTATTTGTGAAACAGATGTAATGAATATAAACTGCTGTCTCTCTCTGTCTGTATATATACTAAGTCCACAAATATCCTTACATGTCTTTTATTTTTACAACCATTTGTTGTAGAATATATTTTCAAATCCAAGAATGTTTTAAATGATGCAAAGATTTATGTTTTGGTATTTTTAAATTTAAAGATCAATTTTGTGTAGAATATGAAATATACCGTTTTACACGTTCCTCTGATGCCTATATTTATATTTAGGAAAATGTTGTACAAAAATAAAACACACAAAGTTTGACTCCTGTATGATAACTATTGACTGAGATCTTTAATTTCAAACTTTGCTGCATTTGATGTCATTTTGAATTTGCATTAAGATGTTGATTTTTTTCGCTCATAAATGCCATTCAATTATATTCTTTTGTTATTTACTAAAGTCTTTAGTCATAGTTTTGTTACACTTGGTATGGTGAAAGAATTTTCACACATGTAATTTATAATTTATTCTGAATTCCTAATACTTCTTTTCTTCAAAGTCTAAAAATACATTATGAGTATTCTCATCAAGTTTTTTTGCTTTAGAATCACAATCTGGTAGTCATAAAAAATTCATTAAAATATAAATATTTTTCATTTTTTAACCAAGGGAAATAGTATTAGGAGTTCGTTGCATGCCATTTATAAAGTCTGTTGTTGTTTTCTCGGATATGAATTCTCCAAGATTCTATGAATAAGATCTAAATTTTGAAAAATATTTATATTCATCATTTTTTATAATAATCTGCGTAGATATACTCATCATTAAATCTTAACATCAGAAACCTCTTTTTAAAAAATATGTTATTTTTAGTTATGTACAAATGCAAATATTTTGCTTTTCAGTTTGTGTGTGACCTGTAAGTATGATTCTTGATTTTAACATCAAATATGTCAGTCAGTTTTTCCATACGGAAGGCAAACTTGTATTTTATTTTTTATTATGAATATAAATATAGGGACTGGAGAAACGTGTAAAAAGTTAGATTTTGTAATTTTTACAAAATTGATTTCTTTAAATTAAAAATGCCAAAGCATGAATGATTGAGAAAATAAAGGCTGGGTAAGGACTTTGCTGGAAATGGCATATATTTAGTTAAAATGTTTAGCAAATTGATATTAGTGGTTGAGAAAATTAGAATGATAGTTGCTACCTGTACCCTTTTTAGAAATCGGTTTTATTTATAAAGCTTCAGAAAATATGAAGTTGCATGCTGATGTTTATATAAGATGCATTTAATTGAGTTTTATCTCTAAGGTGTTAAAAATTATATATTAATCTTTATTAATGTTACTTTGAGTTTGATGAACTACTAAATTGCTTGAAATAAAAGATTGTTTTCAGGAATGATATGAGTATTACTGTTAAAGCTTTCATGCTGGTTAAAATCAAACCATTTTTTTTTTTTTTTTATTTTCCCAGTTTAATGTACAAAATTTATTATTAATTCTATGGGAAAAAAAGGTTGGTTAGTGAACTGTTAGGAATTTTATTTATGTTGCATAAAAGAGAGGAAAAAAGTCACTTAATTTTGAGAGATCTGAAAATTACTCAGTGTTTATGTACAACTAAATGTTATATTTTAGCTTGGAATTTATAAATAATATAATTTGGGTTCTTTTCCATTATGTAACTGCCACGTGTTTTGGTTCCTGTGAAAGAGGAGTTAAACACACAATGAGACCCAATGATAGAGCCATTTGTATGTATTTAATGTAACACATTTAATTGTTTTTACAATTGGTAAAAAATCCTGCCAGAATGTGTGGCAGGTGCATGATGGAAAAGTACTATAATTAATATGCTTCACATGTATCTTGAAAAATGTAACATGATTTTTAAGTTGCTTGAAATATCTGAGAATCAGTATTTAGTAAATTATTTAAATTATTACATCTAGGCACAAAGAAATTCTTGTAACTCGAAAAGACATTATCATACACTGTACATTGCTTTTGTTTCTCTTTAGTGTAGTGTGTCATGACATATGCTATCATGAAATTTCTAATTTTAAATATCTTTTTATGCCATTCAGAAAGCTGCACTCATTGCATATTTAATGTGAGGGTTCTATTTTAATTTGAAACCAATAATTATGTCAAAACACATTCTACCAGACTGCCATCAGCACCAATAAGAATCTTTTTTCTGCCTGAAAACCTACTACATATTTGCCAGGGAGCCATTGATTCATTTTATTTTGAGACGAGCTGCAACAAATTATCAACACCTGTAACAGTGTTTAGATGTTTTTTTTTTTTTTTTTT